CCTTCCATCCTCCTCCTGTTCCATCATCCCCTTTCATTCTGAATCTCGCATCCCTCAGACGTATCGGTAGGGGCAGATCGGGCGTTTCGCCTGGCATGTTCAACAAGTCTACTCGTGGGGGGGCGGGTGGTTTTCATAATGTGGCTCTCGCTCTGAGCGGCGCAAGTTAGTCTTTCAAATTAGCAACAGTTTCATCTTGGGGTGGGGGGCGGGTGGTTTTCACAATGTGGCTCTCGCCCGAGAGACGCGCGGATGAGTCTTACAGCTTGCAAGAGCTCCATGGCTGGAGGGCGGGTGGTTTTCACAATGTGGCTCTGGCCTAAGCGCCGCGCGCATTTGTCCTAAACGTTTGCAGCAGCTTCACTGATGGAGGGCGTGGGTCTTCATAATGTGGCTCTCTCCCCAGCGCGGCGCAAGTTAGGCGTAAAAGTTTGCAACAACTTTGCGAATAGAGGGCGGATGGTTTTCAATATGTGGCTCCCGCCTCAGAGCCGCGCACACTCGTCTTAGAAGTTAGCAGAAGCTTCGTGGATGCACGGCGATTCCTTTTTAAAGCAATTATCGCATCCGCGCCGAGCGCATCCGTCTTAAAGTGATTCAAAGAGCCGTGCGATCGAAGTCCTAGAGACACTGTTCTGGCACGAAATAGGCTCGCCACGACGCAACAATAACGCTGATGCACGGCATTGAAGTCCCAGGAAGGGTGCTCCAGACGATTGATGATTGTCAGGGCGGAGCAGCCACATTGATCCGCCTTCCTGGAATGAAGAGTCTTGCCGGGACCTATGAAGAGGGACCTTGGAAGACGCGTGTATGGATTGCAGCATCGCTGATGCGTCTTGGGCGTGCACTGGTCCTCCCCTCACCACATCAGCATGTTCCTCCTTCTTCATCTTGATCTGTGACCAACGCTCCGGCGGGCGGGGCAAGTTTTGGGAAAAGGACCGAAGACGCCCCAATGGGACACATCACATGGAAAACAATGGAATTAATTAATACTGTCTGTGGAAAGCCATTCAACTACTTTTGTATAGTTCGCTGGTGTTTTGCCGCGAGGCACTTTGGTACTGCGCCGCCGCAAACTAATGACGTTCGCTAGTGGAAGGTTATCCAGCAACTCCCGCGCCAAATGTCGATGGTCAGCTTGAGGCAGAAAATAATCCGACAGAGCGCTGGAAAGGCGGGGCAACAGCTGGGGTACCACGGGAAAGAGGAGTAGTGCTCCTGCTGTGTACTCGTGAAGGGAGGACGGGGGGGGGGGGGCAGGAGGGAGGACACAAGGCGTCAGCGACAGGAGGAGGGCAGAAGCCTCGCTGGAAAGATGGAGGAGGAGAGGGCGGCACGTGGCTCAACCTCTTCTGCAGCGTATCCTCGGTCATCCGCTGGATCTTGCCGCCCGTCGCGCCCGAGTAGTAGTTGACGAAGGCACGCGGGATCCAGCCTGGTGCGGCGAGAGCCGCGCGACCCGCAACACGGGGGCAGCAGCATCAGTAGCAGCATTATTCCGTGCCCTCCTGCCCCTCACGCGTCGGCCTTCCCAACTGCCTCCCCACATCCAGCCCTCGCGCCCATCCAACCGCCCTCCTTTCCCCCGCATCTTCCCCGTAGGCTTTTGCCTCTATCCTCCTCGATTCCCCCCCTCCTCCTCCTCCTCCTCCTCCTCCTCCTCCTCCTCCTCCTCCTTCTCGTAATCCCCCTGACTCATCCTCTTCCCGCCCCCCATCTCTCCACGTCCTCCCCCACCTCACCCGAATCGTCCCCCTCGTCCTCCAGCGCCCTCCAGACATCCCTCCCCAATTCCTCGAGTCGCCACCGCATACCCATCATCATCCTCATAATCCTCCTCCTCCTCCTCTTCATCATCATCATCATCATCATCATCATCATCATCATCATCAGCATCATAATCATCATCAGCATCATCATAATCATCATCATCCTCATCATCATTAGCAGCATCACCATCATCATGACCATCATGCCGATGCTGCTCACCATGGCTAATCACCAGCAGCAGCAGACGCAGCATCGTCATCATCATCATCAGCATCATCATCACCATGGCCAGCTGCATCATCACCACCAGCATCACCATCGTCATCATCATCATCAGCAGTATCATCTACATCACCACCAACACAATGATCACCACCCTCATCACCATGTTCTTCAACATCGTCGTCATCGGCATCGTCGTCATCACCGTCACCATCACCATCAACACCACCATCACCAGCATCAGCATCACCACCATCGTCATCATCGTCATCATCGGCATCATCATCATCATCATCATCATCATCATCATCATCATCATCATCATCATCATCATCATCGTCATCATCATCATCCTCAGCATCATATTCACCAACATCATCACCATCACCGTCGGCATTATCATCGTCACCATCCTCGTCCTCGTCATCAAAGCCTGCAACATAACAACCATCATCACAACCGTCACCACCATCGTCATGACCATTGACCTCACCATCCTGATCATCGTGGTCGGCAACTTCATCACCATCATCCACACCAACCCCCTGACTTTCAACAGCAGCATCGCCGGAATCATCGCCTCGCCATCAACGTCGACACTGCCATCACCATCGCCGCCCTGAACACCCTGATCATCAACATCATTTCCGCCACCACAATCATCGTCACCATCATCATCAAACTCCGCATGATCATCATCACCATCATCATCACCATGATCATCACCATGACCATCACCTGCGTCGGCAGACTATGCCCATAACTCAAATTACTCTCCGCAGACTGCCACAGGTACACCCAGGAAGAACGCACACCAAGTTAAAAAGTAAGTGGACTGGCGTCATGAAATCCCCTCACACTAGGTCACCGACCAGAACCGATGGCGGCGCAAAATTGCAGCATTTTGAACTGCCCCCTGGGAGGAGATGCGCCGAGATTGCCGTGGTCCTCCTGCGCCAGCGGCGCAACTCTCGCGCGGCACGGCGCACGGTGGTCGGGGACTGGCGGACACCTCCGCCACCCCTCACAGGAGGACAGCTCCTCCTCCCCTTTCTTCCTCCTCCTCTTCCTCCTGCTTCTCCTCCTCCACCGTGAACCAACCAGTCGACTCTTCCTCCTCCTCCTCCTCTTCCTCCTCCTCCTCCTCCTCCTCCTCCTCCTCCTCCTCCTCCTCCTCCTCCTCCTCCTCCTCCTCCCCCTGCCCCCCCTGCGACACCCCGAGGTCGCGCGCCCGAGGCGTTGTACAGCCGAACGTAGTTGCCCACAAACCGCGGGTCCACCCACGCCTGGCGACCACGAGCGCGGGGGGGGGGGGAGGCGTCGGCGCTGGCCGGACACGAAGGGCGATGGGGGTGGGGCAGAGGGAGGAGGTGCAACGTGTTTCCCCCGCCCTGCGGGGATCGAGGAGGGAGCTTGCTGGACGTGCTTGCAGGGTTCACCTCAGCAGGTCTTGGGTTCTGGTCCCCCCTCCTTGTTTCCCTCGGCGAGAAAACAAACTCGGTCCTCATCCTCCTCCTCCCCCTCCTCCTCCTTCCCCTCCTCCTCTTCCTCCTCCTCCCCTCCTCCTCTTCCTCCTCCTGGCCCCCTCCTCCTCCTCCTCCTCCTCCTCCTCCTCCTCCTTCTCCTCCTCCTCTTCCTCCCCCCTCTCCTCCTGGTCCTCCTCCTCCTCTTGTTCCTCCTCCTGGTCCTCCACATCCTCCTCCTTTTCCTCCTCCTCTCCTCCTCTATCCTCCTCCTCCTACGCCTCCTCCTCCTCCTCCTCCTCCTCCTCCTCCTCCTCCTCCTCCTCCTCCTCCTCCCCCCCCCCTCCACGTCACCATTGTCGCGGCGGAGGTCAGTTTCCCTCTATTGCTGGGCGGGTTGGATAATGGTGGGAGGCTCTGTCTCCCAGAGAATAAGTAATTGTGGGGCACCGTGCACGCGAGAAGATGTGTGAGCATCTTCTCATGAGGATGGCAATGGGAATCAGTGGTTGTGGTAGTAATCGCGATTGTTGTCGTGGTTGCAATCGTGATTCTAAACGCGAGTGTAGTCGCAATCGTAGTCGTCGTCGCCGTTGCCAAAGCCGTCGTCGTCGTCGTCGTCGTCGTCGTCGTCGCAGTCGCGGCGGAGATTACTTTGCCACTAATGTCCGCAGCGAATAATGATCTCTGTGCTAGCCTGCACGACACTTGAACGTTGAGCACGCTTGTAAGAAGATTGCGAGATAATTCGGCACATTCTTTGCCGAGCTCACAATTTACCACTTGAAGCCGTGGCTGTAGCCGTAGCCGCAGTAGCGTCGTGGTCGTAGTCGTAATCGTAATCGTAGTCGTCGTCGTCGTCGTTGCACGGCGGGCGCTGCGGAGAATGATTATTCAACTATTGGTGGGACCCCAGTCGGCCAATAAGGCAAACGACCACTATTGTGGGGGGGGTCGAAAGACCGATGAGGGTTACATGGACGTTTTCAGCCTCCCCAGGGAAGGAACGGAGCAAGGGCAGACAGGAGGGAGGAGGGAGGAGGGACGAGATCAACGAATTCTCAGTAAATTTCCGTATCCTGGACTGAGCAAGTCGAGCTCGTCAAATCGGTACGCAAGATCCTGAAACTACGCAGACGCGGAATGGACTGAAGCAACGCTCTTGGCTCGAAAATCTTCGATCCGAGGAAAGGGGCCCCGCACAGACGCCGAGTGTTCATTCGAGGAAGCAAAGTAGTCTGTTCGCACAAGACAAATCCAACACCATCACCGTCGGCCCCTGGGCGAGACACAGGCCTGCCCCCCCCCCCCCGGGCCCCACCCATCCTCCCCCCCCCCCCACACACACACACACACACACACACACACACACACACACACACACACGCACAAGCACACACGCAAACGCAGACACACGCACACGCACACGCACAGGCAAACGCACTCGCACACCCACAGACGACCCACAGACCCACACCCACAGACACACAGACGCACAGACACCCACACAAACACACACATCCTTTCGGCGGTCGCGGCCTCGCGCAGAAGGTCGAGGCGGAGTAAGGTCGGGCACGCGGGCGGGGAGGGGAGCGGCCAGTGGCGGGGAGGACGCGGGCGGCGCGGGCGGAGCGGCGGGCCGCCAGTCGAACCCGAGGCGCGGCACCCGCCCTCGGTGACTCGGCGCTGCCTGGCCCCGCTGGCATTCAGGCCGCGTCCTGCCTCGGGGGCGGCGCACCTCGTGCTTTTGTTCTCTGCATGTGCTTCGGTGTGCTCTGGCAGGTCCCCGGCGGGTGCCGCGGGCGGGCCCTCGCTGCAGGTTCCGACCAGGTCCGGCGTCTGATGTGATGGCCGCCGCTGCGCGCGGTGCGCTTCCAGGGCCACGCACCAGAGGGTCGACGCGCCTTGAAGAAAGATGGGCCAGGCGAGAGAGCAAACGAACGTTCCAACAACAACATCACATGCCCTTACACATACAAGTACGTGTATACATCTATGAAACACATACCTAACAGCGCTGTTCTTTCGGAGACGAGTGTTGACTAAATGTTCCTTATGTGGGTTGGGTGCATTCTAAATGCATGCGATGTGTCATAAACAGGTGCTCTTTTTACAACAGTCAATCTTCAACCAGGCGCCGCCGTGGGATCCGATGATCTCGCGGTAGGGCGAACGGCCACAATGCTGGCAAAGACGTAATCGGAGAGTCGGATGCTTCACGCGCGTCCGCAGCCAGGAGTGACTGCACGGCCTGCGCGGCCCCATTGCAGGCGTGATCTTCGCGAGGGTGCGGATCGAGACATACTTTTTCAAAAGAGTTCCAAACTGCTTTCGAGGGGGGCGGGGCCTCCGATTGCAGTGGATAGCGGGGGCGGGGCAGCGGGGCAGGCGCGAGCCAGCAGGGCCGCGGGGCAGGCCGCGGCAATGACGACGACGACGCCCAGAGATACCTGGAGGCCCCTGGAGGTTCTTCTGGCGGTCCCCAAATGTCTCCCCGGGACTCTCCCCCACTCCTCAGGATGCCTCCCCAATCGCGCTCCTACGCGCTACTCTGGACCCCTCCGCTCCCACAGAAGCCTCTCGATCCGACATGGTCCAACAGGGCCCCCCCCTCACTCCCACAGGAGCCCCCCGCTCCACTGCCACAGGGGGGGTGGGGTCCGCCGGCGTCCCATGTACGAAACCCCCCAGGAAGGGGGAAGAAGGGGAGGGTTCGGGGTCGTCGGCGGCACCCGGTGTAGGAACACCCCTGGGAAACCTGAAAAACCAGGGGCAAGCTTCGTGCCTCGGTGCACCGTCGGCGCCCACACCCATGTGTATGTATGTATATATATATATATGTATATATATATACGCACACACACACACACACCTGTTGATAAACCGTTGTATCCATGAAAGTACAAAGAAAAACCGAGCATGTTATCGCCCCCCCCCCAGGCCCCCGGGACTCCCCCAGGAGAGCTCAACAATGCCCTGCGACTGCCCCAGAAAGGCCGAAGACGGCGTCACCAGGCCCACATCGGGCCCCCAAGGCGGCCACAAGAGGCCCGCGATGGCCCAACATGGACTCGAGACGGCCCAGGAGACCCACGTGAGGACCTTGAGGGCCAGAGGAAACGAGAAACATAGATTCATTGTCCGTAGGTGTTTGAAAGTTCATGTGCTTCCCGCCTTCTCTGGCCTCGAGCGGCCCCAGACGAATCTGCCAGCCTTCGACGTCGCCTGAAACCGGCCCAGGAGATTCGCCGAAGTCGCCCCAAAGGGACCCCCAAGAGAGATCCAAGAGGGCCACCAGAGGCCTCCAGGAGGGCCCTAGAGGACCCCAAGAGGACCCCAAGACGGTCAAAGCCCCCCACGAGGGCCTCAGGACAACCCAAGAGAGCCCCTAAAAGGGCCAGAAGACCCCCATTCAGGCCTAGAAAGACCAAACTCATTATCTTGCGATGGTTTCGGCGTCATCAACTCTCGGGCCACTCGACACGCCACGACGTCCTCAGAAGCCCCCCCCTCACCCCAAGCTCGGCCAAAGCTCCCCCAAAGACGGCCCACGAGGCCCTCAAGACATTCCCATGAAAGCCCAAGAAGGTTCCCAAATAGCGCTCTGCAACACTTTCTCGGATGTCAGACAATCCAATTTTCGTCCTCCTCCACATCCTCATCCTCATCCTCCTCCTCCGTTCCCGCCCACTCTGCCCCTCCCGTTCCCTCCTCCCCCATCCCCCTCCTCCTCCTCCTCCTGCTCGTCGTCTTCCTCCTCCTTCTTCGCCTCATCCTCTTTCTTCTCCACCGATTCCGGGATACAGAACATGTTGCTCAATTTTTCTGAAGTTTCAATCTCCTCATTCGTCACCTCCTCTTCCGCCTCGATTCCCTCCTCCTCCTCCTCCCCCCTCTCCTCCCTCTCCTCCCTCTCCCAACGTATCGAACAACCACGACGTTGTGTGCTTAATACCCCTGCTCCCTTTATCATATCATATCCTGCTCCCTTTATCGCTGCGCGTGCTTGGCTTTCTCATATCTTCATCCTGCTGCATGTGGCAAGTCCCACCGCCGCTCCAACCCAACATTCTCCGCGGCGACTGTGCGAGGAAACGCTGGATGCCGTCACGTATGTCACCTCGGGCCTTCGAGACCACTTGGAGGCCCTTTGGGGCGCCTGTGGTGCGTCTTGGGGGCGCCTCGGGTCTATGTGGGCTCTCTGGACCGTGCAGGGGCGCTCTTGGGCGGCCTGGCGCTTCGGGGGGGGGTCCGTCTAGAAGGCTCTCTGGCTCGTCCTGAGGCTCTCTGTGGGACGTCCAGGGCCGTCTGCGAGTCGCCTTGACACACTCGGGGTCCTCTTGGACCTCTCTTCGGCCGTCTTGACGCCCTCTTGGGCCGTCATCGGGCCCTCTTGGTGCTGTTACGTGGGGCACGCACCCACGCGCACATGCACGCGCACGCACAGGCACACTACGACGACACAACTGCCTCCAATGGCGCCCGTCGGCCCTTGCGGAAAACTGTTCCTGACACGTCGCAACGCGCCCGTTGTACCAGCCACGCCGCCTTGCCTCGCACTGCTAGAGCCACACGTCAGGGGCGACATCACCATGCTTACCACAACGCCGACACACATCGTAAGTGCAAGTGTAACGATTAGAAGGCGAAGCGCAACGATCCTTAACAACTTTCACACGTATGTGTATATATATATATATGTATGTATACGCATGGCAATCTGTGTGGTTCGGGAACAAGTCGGTCGATATCAGAATCAGCACGCCAAATCCGGATTCTGGCGGCTACGCCATGAAAAAATACAACATGGCGATGCTCATGATCCCCGTCCACTGTGACTCCCTGGAAGCTGGGTTAGCCGACGAGCACTGCAGGAGCTAGATGCAGCCGCAAGGCACAAATCACGAAACAATACTTGCGCACCCTTTCCAACGGGCATCGGAGGCAGCGAGGCACCAGCAGAAACGAGTAGGAATACGCCACAGGCGAACGCACCCATTAAGAAAAACGATAGTTGCACACGGACAGGATCCCGCCCGATTGATTGGAGGCACTATATGTCCATGGCCGCGAGTGGTGTCCTGGGAGCTGTACTTAAAGGTGTTCCAGCCTCAATGCACTACTGCATCGACGAAGGGTGTGATACCCGATCGTGCACGTCTGAGACCTAGGGCGCGAAACATCTGCATATAAAACATCACCTGAACAACATGCTGCATCGATGTTGAAACTCGGAATCACCAATAGGATCTTGAGCACCTGGTGCGATTTCCGGGCGAAGGGTGTGCACCTGTCAACAAAATACGCATGAGTTGCTGAATGCGACGGTCAGCGCCGTCTGATCTAGAAGCACGATTAGTGGCGTGTTCAGCCTGACGCCTCATCTCGCACGGGTTAATTAAACACATATACATGAAGGGACCGCGCCGAACCGAGAACCGAGAACCGTGACCGAACCGGACCGAACCGGTCCAAAACCAGGAACGTAGAAAACCGAACCGGACCGAACCGAATTCATTCAGAACCAAACCGGCGAGAACCGAACCGAACCAGAACCGGAACCGAACCGGAACCGGGCGGCCCCTGAACCGAACCGACGGGAACCGAACCGAACCCCTTTCCCCTCCGGTCCGGACCCCAGGACCCCGATGACCCCCAAGACTCCGGGACCCCGATGACCCCAGAACCTCCCGAATCGACCCCGATGACCCCCAGGACCCCAGGACCCCCCTGGACCCCCTGGACCCCAGGACCCCAGGACCCGAGGAGGTCGCAACCCCGAGGGGGGTCGCAGCCCCGAGGGGGGTCGCACCCGCGAGGGGGCTCGCAGCCCAGAGGGGGGTCGCACCCGCGAGGGGGGTCGCACCCGCGAGGGGGGTCGCACCCGCGAGGGGGGTCGCACCCGCGAGGGGGGTCGCAGCCCCGAGGGGGGTCGCACCCGCGAGGGGGGGTCGTCGTCGTCGTCGTCGTCTTCGCCGCGCCCTGCTGCACCTCCGAGGGAGACCGATGAGGGGGGTCCCCAGGGGGGTCCCCCCCAGACCGACGATCCCGGGGCCTCCCCGACGACGACGACGACGACGACGACGACGACGACGACGACGACGACGACGACGACGACGACGACGACGACGACGACGGGGCCGCGGCGGCGGCGGCGCCAAGCAGCGAGGCACCTCGCCAGGCACGTCGCTGGCGGGCCTCGCGCCTCCACGCCTCCACGTTCCTCCTCCTCCTCCTTCTCCTCCTCGTCGTCCTCCTCCCTCCTCCGCCTCCTCCTCCTCCTCCTCCTCGTCCTCCTCCTCCTCCTCCTCCTCCTCCTCCTCCCCCATCCTCCCTCCCTTTTTTTCAAACTGGGTCGTCGCTTACGCAGACAGGGCGCCCAACGTCGCACCTGACCAGTCGGGCCGAACCGAACCGGACCGGCCACTCGAACCGAACCGAACCGGTCGGACCCATCCGCGCGAAAACCGGAACCGAACCGAACCGGCGGCAGGCCCAAGCCGAACCGGCCGAAACCGGACCGATGCCAAACCGAACCGGCCAAGCAAAACCGACCCGGCTGCAGAACCGGACCGAACCGAACCGAGCCGATGCCTTCATGATATAGTGACCTCGTGGCTAGCCAGCAAATGCCTTGAGCCAAAACGGCTGTTGAGGAGCGGACAGGGGAGAGGGGGGTGGGAAAGAGGGGGGAAAGAGGGGGGTGGGAAAGAGGAGAGAGGGCGGGACAAGCTAAGTGCGCTCGCGCCTCATCTGACATCTTTATCCCTCCCTCCCATCCCTTCCGATGGCGCTGATTTTTCATTCTCCGCGGACGCGCGTCATAGCCACCCTGCGACTCCCACAAAAAGGCCACTTCGTGATATGAGCAGTCGGATGATTGGGAGCTGCGTGCACAGGCGGAGGAGGTGGCGGGCGAGCGGGAGGATGAACGGGAGGGCAAGGATGAGGACGAACAGCAACAGCAGAAACTAAAGCGAACAGCAACAGCGAAAACTAAAGGGAAGAAAAGGAGGGCCATGGGAAGGCGGAGAAGGGGAAACGAGGGGGCCGACAACGACAAACCAGGACTCATGCCGAAAAATAGCGCGCGCTGCGGCGAGCGCCGTTCAGAACGACGTTGCAGCGGAAGCGCCGTTTTCAAACATCGGTAACAATGGGATTGTAAAGAAAGCCCGAGAAACAACTTTTAGAATCCTGTGGGAAAAAACGCACGCGGAGGGTCGTACAACGGAGAGGGGGGATAGAGAGAGGGGGAGAAGGAGAGAGGAGCCAGAATGGGGAGAGGGGGGGGGAGAGAGGACGAAAGGGGGCCCAGACCACGGACGTCGGGGATTCTGCCACAACGCGGCTCACTGGAGGTCTGGACCTCTTACCCAGAGCGGTTGCTTCATCATGAGTCGCCTGTTGACGCTTCAGGGGCCCGGCGAGGGCCCGCGGAGGCCATCAACGCTATCAGCGCGGCTGGGCCGCGGATCGAGCTGGCCGAACTGAGAAGGCACTCCGCTCTAGACGCTCGACAAGAGGGGGAGAGGGAGAGAGATTGGAGGCTCGAGGCAAGGTGAGGGGAATGGCAAGACACAAATCCCGCCGCGACTTTCTCGCAACGAGAAGAGCTCGAGGAGAGGGAGGGGAGGAGGCGTGGGGGCGTCCTTCAGGAGGTGCTGCACCAGCGCTCCGTCCAAGGCCTTCGGTCCCGCCTGGCGTGGCCACGCGGAGCCCCGGAGTGGGAGGACAGGGGGCCTCGAAGAAACCCGCGCCATCCCCCTCCTGCTCCTCCACCGCCTGCTGCTCCTGCTGGGCCGGTCTCGTGCTGGTCCCCGCCCCGGGAGGCCCGCTCGCAGAGGGTAGGGGCTCCTTGCCACAGCTCCGCCGGGGCGCGGTGGTGCCACGGCGCCGCCCGAAAGCCGATGCTGAGCAGAAGCCACGCTCTCCAGAGTTCTCCTCTCGCACCCAGCGGTCGGGCCCTGCTGGGCCCCTCACGAGCGGCCAGCATGTCCTCATCCGCGCCCTCGCGGTGTGGACTCTGGAACGTGAGATCCCGCGGATGCGTGGTCGCACAGAAGGGTCCGAAGCCTGGCCCGCGAGGCCGCGGACACGGATATATGTGGCCACAAACACATGCAAACCGCCCGAAACATCCTCGCAATCTGGGCCCCCCTGGGATGTGAAAGCCAACGCCTCGCCCGAAATATCCTCAAAATCCGCTCCGAAGCGGAAAATGTTGGATTGATAAAGAAGCAACCGGCTGGAGGCATCCCCGCAATCTGGGCACAAACGGATGACTGAGATACCCCCTGGCGGCTCCCCCTTGGGCATGCTGACACCAGTGCCTCGCCCAAGACATCCTCAGAATCTGCTCTGCACGCAGACGGGTCTGGCCACCAAAACAGGCAAACCGCTCGAGACATCCTCGCAATCTGGACCCCCCTGGGGTGCGGAAACCAACGCCTTGACCAAAATATCCTCAAAACCTGTTCCGAAAGCGGAGGTCTTTATACAGGCGAACCGCTCGAAAGATCCCCACAATCTTGGAACGAACGGAGCAGTGAGATACTTCCTGCAGCCCCTTCCTGGGGCTCGGCCCTCCGCCTCGACCTCCTCGAATCCTCCTCCTCCTCCTCCTCCTCCTCCTCCTCCCTCCTCCTCCTCCTCCTCCTCCTCCTCCTCCTCCTCCTCCTCCTCCTCCTCCTCCTCCCTCCTCCTTCTCCTCCTCCTCCTCCTCCTCCTCCTCGTCATCATCACCATCATCACCATCATCACCATTATCATCATCACCATCATCGTCATCACCATCCTCATCCTCATCATCAGCAGCATCATAATCGTCAACATTACCCTCCTCCTCCTCCTCATCCTCCTCATTGTCCTCATCCTCATCAGCATCATCGTCATTAGCACTATCATCGTCAGCAGCATCATCAGCAGCATCATCATCACCACCATCAACATCATAATCCTGATCAGCAGTACCATGATCATTAGCAGCATCGTCATCGCAATCTCAATCCTAGCTTAACATGGTTACTAACCCTGAGTGCGACTCTGAGTATTAGAAACTCATCAGTATCATCATCATTACCATAATCGCCATCATTGCATCATCAGCAACAACATCCTGTTCATCATTATCACCATCATCATCACAGCCACCACCGCTACCATCATCATGATAATCATCATCCACATCATCATCATCAGCATAATCAGTACTACAAAATCATTATCGTCGTATGATCAACATGGCCGCCTTCGTCGTCGCCATCATCATCAGCAACACCATCAGCATTAGCATCGGCATCATGAACAGCATCATCGTCACCATCAGTATCATCAATATCATCATCGTCATCATCATCACCAACATCAACACCATCAGCATCAACATCAGCATCACCACTAGCACCGTCATACTCAGCATCACCACCAACGTAATCAGAATCATCAACGGCACCATCATCATCATCATCATCATCATCATCATCATCATCATCATCATCATCACCATCAGCATCATCATCATTATCATCATCATCATCATCAGCATCATCATCATCATTATCATCATAATCACCATCACCATCATCAACATAACCATAATCATCATAATCACCATCATCGTCATACTCATTACCATTATCATAGTCATATCCGTCTAGCGTGTCAGTCTGTGAGGAGAGGAGAAGGAGAGGAAGGTGTCGGTGTGAGGACTGGGCGCGGTCGGAGTAATAATCATAACCCCATCCTCAGGATGTGGGATGCATATCAGCGCAATGGGAAGGGATAGGACCGGGGAGGAGCGCAAACTGACCCTCCCGAAAACACGAACAACAAGAAAGACTGACATATGACCTTAGGCTAGCTGGGAACCCGACCCCTACCAACCAATTTTTGGAAATGCAGGCTGGGGCTCAGAGTTCGAGGGATGCCTGCAACCAGGTGGACCCCAGCGGGGGTGTCCGATACCGCGCCGATGCCCCCAGCATCGAGGGAAACCGTAGGGACAAGGTTCGCAACTGGTCGCAGGCACCTACCGTTCTGCACGCTCTGCCAACCTGGGGCGAGGTCCCCACTCGGCTGCTCCTGGGCACCCTCGCCCCGCCGACTTGGCAGCGGCAGCACCAGCGGCGGCGGCGGCGGTGCCCGAGGCAGCAGCACAGGCGGCGGCAGCGGCGGCCCTGCTCCTTCCGAGGCGGCGGCGAGCTTGCCACTGCACGTCCTGGGCCCGTTGGACGGAGTAGCGGCCTGGCGGCCTTGCACCAGTCTGGCGACCAGAACGGCCGTCTCGCTATCGCTCGGACGTCCATTCCCCGTGCAGTTTTCGGTGTCGCGCGTGTCTTTTTCGCAGGATGCTCCAGGATGCTCCTCGACGGCCCTCGCTGAGGAGAAATGCACACGACCGAACGATGCCAAGCCTTGGTCAAGGATGGGGCAGATGTGCAGCAAATTCGGTCGCCGCGCCGCGCCCCCGCGACTTGCGACACCACCGCGCCCTGGAGAAGCGCGCCTCTCCAGAAGGCGCCAGCCGCGAGCCGCGGTGCGCGAGCGCCGCGGGTCCTCTTCGGGCCCCCCTGGGCGACGGTCGGGTCGGGCGAAAGGGTGGGATAGCAAAGGGGGGGTTTGAGAATCAGCTCACGTAGCTGATTTTCCCGGCGCCTCCCAGCGCCAGAGGCGGCTATGTATCGAGGAATGGGCCCCTCGGTGAGGCCGAAACCAGCTGCATGCAGCAAATTGAGAATCAGCTCACGTAGCTGATTTTCCCGGCGCCTCCCGGCGCCGGAGGCGGCTATGTATCGAGGAATGGGCCCCTCGGTGAGGCCGAAACCAGCTGCATGCAGCAAATTTCGCACCCCCCCTTTCCCAATCCCCCCCTTTCGCCCGGCCCGAGACGGAGCGGCGGCGCACGCGATCGGAAACCTGGTCCGAGAGATGCAGGGGCCCTTACAGGGCAATTTTTAATACATAGGATTTGTTTTAAACGTATGATTGTTTAATACATGATCAATGTATGACTAAATTGATGCATGAACTCATCGTTGTTTTTAGTACTAAATTCCTGCATTATTAATACCTGATCCGCACGCGGAGCATGTATTAAAACCGGCACTGTATGCGTTGTTCCTTGGAGAAACCAAGGGGTTCCGTTCCTTCCTTATCACTCCTTCAGATCAGGCCGAGGACCGCAGCCAACGCCCCTGACCCTCGCGACGTGGCCGCGCCTGGAGGCCATCTTCGGCGCTCGGCTGCGCAGGCGGCCCCCGGCCGCGGAGGCGCACTGCATCGCGCGCCCCCTCGGCCGCCGCGGCGCCTCGGCTGCCGCGATCGCCGCGGAGCCACCTTCACGACCATGTCACGACCTGTGTGGTCGCGGACCCCGAGCCTCGCCAAGATCTTCCAGGGCCCCGCGGGCCCATCGAGCGAGGAAAATACGTCGTGGGGCACCCGCTGGAAAGGCCAGTCTCTTCTTTGGTGTGCCTACTTTGGGGGGCCTTGGAATTGGCACCAACACCAACACAGGGGGTGCCTCCACAGGGGGAAGATGATCCTAGATTTCGGTTGGTGGCAATATTTCGGTCACCTTGGAAGCCAGAATATTACCACCATCACCGAGATCGGGATCGTCTTCCCTCGGTGGAGGCACAACGCCGATCTTGGTGTTGGTGTCAACCTCTAGGCCTGCGACAATCGCTGTGCAGCTGCCCTCTGCGGAGCTCGGGTCCCCCTGCCTCCCAGAGGCCTGCTGCGCGCCCCCCCCAAACACCTCACGGGGCACGCCCTGACCAGGGCCTCCCGAGGCGAAGACACCCGTGCCGTGGCGACGAAGGGCTCCCACAAGGGGGCCGAGGAACACGAGCACGAGAGGGCGCCACTTAATTCAAGGGGCCCAAGGACACACAACTAAATACACACAGATAAAAAGTTCCCCCATATGTTCCCATATGTTCTGGGCTTCTGTCTTCCCCCCCACTGCCCATATTTTCCGATATGTTCTTGGGGAATCGACGATTCATAGTGTCTGTGTGTTTTCTTCCCTCCTGGTTAATGGAGAAGCGATGCAAATGGGGGGGAAGAAAGGCGCACTTCTCGGGCCCTCGAGGCTCCCTTTCGGGCCCCGAATTCGGCCCCGCAGGGGGGCCCCAGAGGGCTCCTTCTCTTTCTGCAGCCCCCCCTGCCCCCCATGTGAATCACCTCCCCCCATCACGCGACTCTCAGACGTCGGCATCGACGCACGCGAAGGCATCTGCGCTTCTGCCGTCGGCAGTTTCCTCGGAGGGGCGAGGGGTGGCTGGGGCGTGCGAGGTCCCAGGCCCCTCTGTGGCCCGAGATCTGGCCCAGACGCCGCAGCGCCGACCGCAACTGCTCAGCTTGATCGACGCGCCGACAGCACCGGTACTTTCCTTAGCTGCCACGATTGGTATGGAACACAGCACGCGGACTGAAAGCGTAGGTCTGTCGTTCGCCAAAACGTGGGCCAACACGGTGAGTCCACACGCAGCGTATCGAAACGGACGTTCTGAGCACGGCACGTGTTGCGCCCCAGAATGGGCGTCTCGGGGCTTATCGAGGCTTGCACAGCATGCCGCTTCGGCGGCCCCGGCGACACGCTATGCCCTGCGAGGGCATAGCATGTCGCTCCGCCCCGCGGGGCGGGAGGCGGGGCACAGCTCGGGCCGCTGACGCCCGGTGGCTGGGGAGTGGATAGCGCGTCGCGCCGAAGCGTGGCAAGCCAGAACGGGCGGGCGACGCGCTATCTGCAGAGGCCTCCAGGATGGCGTCCGCATGCACGAGGTCGGAGGAACGCGCCGCATCGGCGATGCACCGGCAACGCCAACGATGCACCACCGCCGTCGGCATGGCGAACACCGAGCCCCGCATCTCGCCGTCGCTCGGACGTCCATTTCCCGTGCATGTTTCGGTTTCGTGGGTGTTTTTTGTTACTTGGTCGAGGATGGTCCTCGAAGGTTCTCGCCGAGAAAAAATGCACTCGTCCAAGCGATGCCAGGGCATCGAGCCGCATCGCCGACGCATCGGCGATGCGGCGTGCATCCTCCGACCCCATCTGCCCGAAGCCAATCTGGGAGGCCCAGAAACAAAACTTGAGCAGGGACCGACCGTCCCGGCATTCCCATAGGCCTACCACGAAATGTAGAACCCAAACATGTTCTAAGAACAAAAAGCAATGTTCTTAGAACATAGACCCGATGCGATAAATCAAGACAGACTCCGCCAGAAACGTTCTAAGAACATCTATGGAAACCAGCAAAGGATCTTAGAACACTGCTTGGTAGGGTTATAGGCGAGCCAGGACGCTTCGCCACTGCTTGACAAACGTTCACGACCGCGGGTCGGCCGAGGCTTCGGCCGGCGCCCGCGCGTCTCCCGCGAGCCCCGCGGGAGGCCGCCGGCGCCTCGGCGAGCCCCTGCGTCTCCCACAGCTTGGGCTGGCACAGCGGCTGCACGGCCTGGCGGGGCGAGGAGGAGGAGGAGGGGGAGAGGGAGGAGGGAGGAGGAGCAGGAGGAGGAGGAGCAGGAGGAGGAGAATCCAGAACCCAAACGAGGAAGAGGAGGAGGAGGATCCAGGAGGAAGGAGGAGGAAGGAGAAGGAGGGGGAGGCGGAGGAGGAGGAGAAGGAGGATCCAAAGGAAGAGGAGGAGGAGGAGGAGGATCCGAAGGAAGAGGAGGAGGAGGATGCGACGCTGTCGAGCCGCCGCGCGGGTGCACAAATCGACGCAAAGAGTGGGGCAGGGGTCACCCTCGCCGCACTATCGCAGACCACCCCCACCCTGGAAATCTCGGGAAGGCAAGCGGCGGCGAAAGAAGAAGAAAGGAACGGGGCGGCAGCGGCATGCGGCGGTCTTGGAAGCTGTAGAGGACAATATGCGGGCGCGGGGTGCGCGCGGGACGCGCCCCTCTCTCGCGCCCCGCCTCGACCGTCGACCGCGAGCCGCCCCGACAACAAAACGAGTTGCGGCGGCGAGAAGAAGATTGGAACCGCCGACAAAAGAAATCAGGCCCGCAACAGCCGCAACTACGCGGCTTCGGGGCCGCTGGCCGCGAGCGGCCTGGGTTGAGGAATCCTCCTGGACCCTGGACGCCCATCGTCAGAGGGGTGAAACCTGTCCAGAAACAGCCCGCGATTCCCTCTAGCGTGCTCTCCAGTGGGGATGGTGGACACGCAGTCTAGCAGAAACTGACCTGCCTGACCTGTCGTACAAGTCCCGCACCTCACACAGAGAACAGCATGCCCCGGCGAGACCCATGGCAAGGAAAGCGACCACGAGCGCGACAGGCTATGGCCGCGCCTCTCGCAAGCATGATCCCACCAGGGACCAGCGCCTCCGCGACCTTTGGCTCGGCCTGGCCGCGGTCCGGTGCACTGGCGCACCTGCTGGGGGCCCAGCCGGAGGGGGCGACGGCGCCCTGGGCCGCAGCCCGCCAGCTGGGAAGCACCCCGAGCGCGCACCTCTGAGCCACGGGGTTGAGCTCTGCCCACGGCCGGGCGCTGCGGCGGAGGGCGGGGTCGAGCGAGCTCGGGCGGCACCCGGCGGTCACGCGAGGAGCCATGGCTCACCGCGGCGTTCCCGCGCAGACCTCTCCTCGTCGGAAGAGGCCTCGGCAGGGTCCAGGCGATGGGGCCAGGGGCACACGAGCATGGCAGACCGGTGGAGGACACGCCGCCGCTGCTCGTCGCTCGCGACGCCTTTCTCGCAAGAGTCGCGTCTACCGCAAACGGAAGGCTGCTGAGCGAAAACGTGCCGCACGTGGTGCTCTACGGCCTGCTGCTCGGAACGAACCACATTCGGCTTCCGAAGTTCCCGAGGACGCTTGAAACTCAGAGCACGGCCGAACGAAAAATGATGTGTGCGCAGCGCGTGCCAATGCAACGCGCCACGCGCGGACTTGAACGCAATGCGCATGGCCTTGACTGAAGACATGGCGCGCTCTGGGCGTCTCGTCCACTCCGAGCGGCAAAGTCCGCCCAACGATTCGAACGAGCCTCGAGAGAGTCTCCGCTCCGGTGACCTCGGGCGTGCAAAACCTGCAGGACCTCCCCATGGCCACCGCGGTCGTCGAGTTTGAGCCAGATGGCCTCCCTGAGGTCCATGTTTGGCCGCCGAGGGCCACGATTGAACAGAGGGCCCAATTCCAAACCTTGACCTGGCCCAGGAAATCAGTGAACATCTGAGTGGGCAAAATACCCACTTGTAAAACTTGCAAAATCGCATGAAGCTCAGCACGGGGTGAACTCTGAACTGGCCCTGGAGGTGCTCCAAATGCCAACATCTGAAACTCATCTTTGACAAGTCCCCACCCTGCTCTGGTAGCTTGTGGCCATTGCCACATGTTTCAGCAAACTCCGTCACTGTGAATGCCCCCCGTGATCCGGTCGAGGGATCCGCATAGCATGTGTCAGCGCAAGCTGTCATCACGTGGCGGCGCTGGCGGAAGCACGACCGCGGGGCAAGTCCACAGTTCCGAAACCAAGAGCCTCGAGTGCGAGGTGTGATGCCACGGGCATCGATACTAGCAAAGGCAGGCAATTTCCTATCAGGGGTCAGCACGTCGTCATCGTCGTCCGAATATTCGAAGTCCTTAAGGTCGGGTAGGTGTCCACGAAGAAGTTCGATGACGGGCTTTGACCAGTACCCGAGGGGTTCCTTGGGGCCCATTTCTTCGCCAGCTGGGTCAGAGCGAGGCGCCCAGCTAGCCCACTTGTTCCTAACTCCTGCAGCCCGAACAACGTCTCGAACTGTGAGAAGTACATCAATACGTCAATCCAGGCCACCTTTGTTGATGATTAATATAAAAGCATACGTGGATCTCCCTCAGACTCTGTCATATGGCCGGCCAGCCATCAGGACGCGAAAACCTTGTCGTGTTCAAGCACTCTGTAAGGTGCCATGCGTAATACCTTTATCCCTGCAAAATAGAAGCCCACTGGAAGATCGGTTGAGTCCAACACGACATCTGCGGATCCTCAAACATTGAGCCCTGAAGACATGAGGTAAGCTAGGCCTAAGTCGAAGCCCCTGGAGTACACCAAGTGTTTCGCATGATGCCTCTCATCTTCTCGACAAGTGGTGATGGGGCGCCGTGCACCCCGACTCCAGACTGCATAGCCGAGGGAAGCGCCTGATTCGCAAATCTAGAAACGAGGTGCCCAGCTTTGCGGGCCATGCGCAATCGAGGTAGACGTCGCCCAGTCTTCTGGACATTCTTACGAGGGCGAGTGAACTGAAGGGGTCACCGACTTCCAAAGCAGTAGCGTACTGGTATCCCAGGGGCCCAAGGCGCTCGGCAACACAACGCCCAAGACAAGGATGGCTGTGAATGACTGTCATGTTATGTGTGGCAGGCGGAAGCCCCATCTGAATCAGAACGTGCACCAAGAGAAGTAACAGCGCCCAGGCAACCTCGACGCATGCACTGGCAACACCAATGATGGCATCGGCAATGTCGTCACCGAAAATATCGAGCGGACGGCTGATGTAATCGGCATGCCAAAATAACGCATCGAAGGGAGTTGTTATAGCGCACTGCAGGCAGAACATGGCGCAGGGGCGCCCTGGAAACACCCCTCGTGTGGCCCAAATGGGAGCTGCAACGCACGACTCCCAAGATAAGCGCCGTGCTGCCATGTACATTCAAATTGCCCAGGCCATGATACACGTGGGACAGCCATGCATCTTGCACGCTCCTGCGAGGAGTCGCCAAAGCACGCGGTCAAAACATTTGTCTATGTCAACTATCGCCTGAATCGTGGCCTCTGAGTCCGCGTCCCCCGAGAAAGCAGTTTCCGACTGTACAAGCAGGCGTTCAGCAACATTTGCGGTGCTCTTCTGCATACCAACGGCAATGTCAGATGTCCCTAGCTGTCCAGCCCACCGTCGCACCCGATCGAGTCGGGCCTTCCCCCACACCCGATACAATGATGGCAACAGTGCAATCGGGCGGAAGGCTCGAGTAGAGAACCGTCCACCCCGCAGAAGCCGATGACGGCCGTGTACGGCTGGGACACGTGACCATCGCTGTCGTAGATGATATGGGCCAACTTGTAGCACCCGTCCCACGCGGATCCCGCGCCCGTCGTACAACAATTGCCTCTGGCGCATCGCGCGGACGCGCGCATCCACAAAACCGGCGAAGCCCTTGAGCATGACGGACCGCAGCACAGCGCATCTCGGTATCGTCGACATGTGCCACGGAATCCCCAACGGCGCACGCCCCTCGCGGAGGGACCGACACGTTTCGTCAAGCAGCGCTGACGAGTAGAGAGCAGCGAGGCGACGACGGGTCTCCCGCACATTGAAGCACTCGTTGAATGCCAGGCACGCTTCGAGTACGAAGCGCGCAATCATGTAGACCGGGGCCCCAGAGCGACACCGGTGGATGATCACGTCTGGGTACTCGCGCTTCACGTCCTCGTCGCGGACGGCCCAGTACTGTTCCCCCGCTTCCGTATGGCGCCTGCGACTCAGCTCCAGCAGGGTGGTGGAAGCGCGGCGTGCCGCTGCATCATTGGAGCATGTGCGGCGCAGCCATGGATTGGCTGTAAAAGCCCAAGACAGGGGCATGTCGAGAACGGCGCGCGTGCTCGCCCCGAAGGCGACAAGACGATAAGACGATAAGACGATAACTCTTATCGGCTTCTCGTCTTATCGTCTGGCGGGACCATATATCGTCTTATCGTCTTATCGTCTGGCGGGTCTCTATATCGTATTATCGTCTTATCGTCTGATCGTCTTATATCGTCTTATCGTCTTATCGTCTGGCTTTGAAATAGCAAGCCCTGCTTTCCACCACAATGGATATCTACGTACCTGCTTACGTCGACGCCACTGGGAGACTTGGAAGTTAGCCCGCAACATGCTCTCGTCATGGGCCAGGTACGCATCGTTCCTACAGACATTGCCCATTATGCATGAACAACTGCTACGCGTTGGCATCTGGACGCCCTGTGGCACGCGACGCACAAAGCAAGGAGAAATGTATCCGACAAAGAAAGGGCGAAGTCAAACAAGAAAGACAAAAAACAAATAAGTCCGGAAAACCTGGTAATTCTAAGTTCTGACTTCATTGCGTTGGTCCGCCACGACTTGTGCCACGCGTCCAGAGCACACGGAGGTGCACTCGGGCCCGTCCTGGTGAAAAGGACCAAGAAGATCTGGGCCGACGCCAACGGGAGCGTCGCCGCAGGAAGGGCATCCGGATGAAGTTTCGATTCCTCGGCCTCGGGCGGGGCCACCAAGCTCGGCATGGCCCGACGCCGCCAGCGGCCACGGGTCAGACGTTTGATCGCGCTATGGGCGGGGAGGGTCACCTGGTGCCGGAGGTCGCTGCAGTCGCCAATGGGAGGGTCGCTCTAGCGCGCGGGGGGGCTGGACGGCAAGCAAATAGCCTGGAAGCCGACGCAGAGCCAGTTGCCGTTGTCCAGCAGAGCGTTCCACGTCCAGCGCCCGCATGACCAGACAGTGTACGTGCGAGGAGAATGCTGACGATGGCCTGCAAGAGCATCGCCACGGCCGACCTAAATCCAAGGATTCCGCGTCCAGCCGCCTGACTGCTCATTGTCCCATCCAACCATTCGAGGAGATGTGATGGAGGCGGCAGGAGCCGCACAGGAACTGCTCCAGCAGGAGCTCACTGAATGTGTAAAGAGCTGCAAAGATAAAGACATACTGTCTTAATAGAAAAGGGTACACCCCTGGCCAGGACATGCCCTCTACAGTTTGGGGGTGAGGAGCATGAGACTGGTGAGGAGGAGGAGGAACTGGAATTGCAACACGCTAGTGAGCAGGAGCGGTAGTGAGGAGAGGACGACGCAGCTAGCTCAGGGGTGAAGGTGGCAGGTGCCAGGGCAGCGTCTCCATCCGAGAAAGAGGAAGCAGGACGCCGACCAGGGGCGAGGAAGGACTTCGGACTTCGAATATCAAAGCTGCAACTGTCGTCGACGAGGGCGTCGCAAGCGGGCGCCGTGCCATAAGGGCCGTGGAAGCTGATAACTAATACATGATTGAAGCCATCGCGCAAAACGCCAACACATAACGATAAATGGCGGAAACCTGCCTACATAAACGAGATCGAGAATTTCGAGCCTGTCCGAGAAAACACCGGAAGCCGACTCAGGAGCGAGGAACAAAAAGAAGGAGGAGCCGCGGCGCAGAAGTTCGAGTCCTCCTCCCCCGACCCCTGGCGCGGCGACTCGATTCTACCTCGCTGCCTGGGCCGCCGCCGCCTGTGCACCTGCAGCAAACGTGAAACATCCACTTTGCATGGAGCAAACGGGTCCTGACGGAAACGGGTCCTGGACAACGGGGTTTTTCCCCAGGACTAGCTTTGCATCCCGAGTCGTTCTGTGACGGCCCTGGGGCCCATGAAGGGAAACCCAGGACCCCTTGCCATCAGGACTCGTTTGCTCCACTGCGACCCCGAACCCCCCTTTGGACGCCCGAGATGGGTACGGACCAGTAAGTATGCCCAACAGCAAAGGTTGTCCCAAACGGACAGCGGCCGCTGTTGGGCAGGCCCATTCTCGCCTCACATGGACAACGTCCGCAACAACATCGACAGCGATCCCTGTTCAGAATGAACCAGACTTGCTGTCGGTGTCCGTCACCATTCCTCCCGTACCCAGTTCCATCGTACCGACTCCCCAGGATCGGGGATGGACAGACCCCCCTTTAGTAAAACGTGGTTTAGTGAAAACGACCTGAGGCCCAAACCTGGCGGGCGCAAGCCTGGAAAATAACTGCCACGGCGCCCTCTCGAGCACCGAAAACGGACAATTCACTAATCGACGTGTCACTGTTGGGGTTTCTGTCCACCCCGGACAAGAGCCCTCGGCCTGCCACGCGGCAGGGCCGTACCCGTATCCACACGCAGATGGCTCCCGAAGGCCCTGGACACGGCCACACTGGCCTGCCAGGCGCGGCACGGCCCCTTTGAAGGGGCCCCAGGACACACAAATAAATACACACAAAACAAAAAAATCCCTATATTTTCCAATATTTTCTGGGTTTCTGTCTTCCCCCCCACTTCCAATATTTTCCCATATTTTCTAGGGCATCGAGGATTAATTATGTCTGTGTCTTTTTCCTCTCCTGACCCTTCTGCTACAGGGGCTTCCAAACCTGAGGGCCGATCCCCGGGTTTCTGCTCCGATGGGTCCCGTCAATGCCCGCCCGATGGGATTCGACAAGAGCTCCTACTTACCCCCCCTCCCCGTCGGCGGGCCCTCCCGCGGGGCCGTTGGCCTCCCACTGCACGGCGGCCGCGCGGAAGCCTTGCCAAGCGCCCGCCTGCGGGCCGCGAGGTGGCGTGCGCCGGCGCCGGCGCCGCCGGTGTCGTCGCCCTCGCCGTCGCCGTCGCCGTCGCCCGCCTGCTCCCCCACCTGCTCCAGATGCCAGTGCCCCTCGCTGGCTCTACAGCAGTACGTGTGCCACTCCATTCGCACGTATGGAAAAAGTGGGATAATCCTAGACGCGATGGAGGCGCCGTGCAGCCGCCAAGAAGGGCGGCGCGGGTCCATCGGGGCCCGTCGGGGAGTGGAGCACCTTCTCGGGATCCACTGCCCTGGTCATGGCCCGCTAGCGGGCCTGGGTACCAAAAGGCCCGAACCCCGGCTTCCGTGAGCCCGAAAGGCGGCAGCCTCATGGAAACATCGACGCCCGCCGACTGTTATTTCCAAAGGCCAGCTCGTGCAGTGAATCATCGAGGAGGATTGCGCTCCATCACCCAGACCTCCGCACGTCCGAGAGCATGGCCGTTGCAATGCCATGGGCGAGGAGCAAACTCATCAACCTACAGCTCGGCGCCCCCCCCCGATGCTCTCGGCCCCGGGCTCCAGGGACGTGCATGACGGAACGGGGAGGCCAGGAATGACCTCGAACTCGTCATTACACATGCACTCGATGCCCCCAAGACCGCAGGCATCAGAGTCGGACAACACCGCCTGCTGAAGTCATCTATTCTTAGCAACGCGTTTGGCCAGCTCGTGACAATCTCCGATCAGACGTAAAACAATTGCTCCAAGCTTGGCCAGCCGATCGGCCCAGTGGTTGCCTCGCCAATCCCGACTCGAGATTTTACAGCCCCGTGCAGCGCGGCATGGGAGGCGAGAGGCGGCTTTCGCAAACGCGGACCCCTGCAACATGTCACCGATCTCAGACCGCCAGTGGGTTCGCTACGACTTGGCCCAAACGTCCCGCCCGAGCCGCTCCGCGCAACCCGAAGCGCGCCCAATGTACAAGTGAACTGCAGGCGCAACAGCCGCACTCCTGGATAAAAGTGGCACCGCGAGATCCTTGCCACCCCAGGCAGTGTGGTTGGACCTCTCGCTCAGCGGGACTACCCCGCGCAAGGCCGACGCCGCCTCGCCATCCAGGCCGCTCGCCGCAACTGCCCAACCTGCAACTCGCAGAGAAGGTCGCCTCTCCTCAAATCCAAAACCACCCAAGTAAGTACGAGCGTCCGATTGCAGTGCCAGCCCACCCCTGGGCAACTTTATCCCCATCGTGCACGAGGCGGAGGCGCATCTGTATCCACCGCTTGGGGAACCGACGTCCCGGGCCCTCGGCGGGCGGTGGGTTCTGATGTAGGCTGGCCACTGGGGGCCCGAATATATACATATATATATATATATACATCCCATGCCTGCCAAGGTCCCCGACGATCGATCACATAGGCGGAAGTTATGGACACATCCCCGCGTCGGATCATGAGCCATCGGCGGATCAACCTCCCCGCTCCCGACACGCCTCCTGATCAACTGCATTGCGATCGAGGGCTTCCTGGTCCAGAACCCCCTGCTGATCACGAACCTCCTGCGGATGAAGGGCCTCCCGAAGAGCCTGGTTGCTGTGAGGGTGCACGACGTGGTGCCCCCTCGGCGAGCGTGTCGGGGCCGTGAGCGCGTGCTCTGCTTCGTTGTCACTGCGGGCGCTGGTCCTCGGTGCCCGTTGCACTGGTGGTCGATCCTTGCTCCCCCCCTTCGCTCGCCCCACTCACTCGGCCCACAAATTGTCTGGCTTTGCGGTCGGTTAGGGCCAGACGGCTCGATCCCTCTGTACGTGGCCTCATGGTGCCATCGAGCGGCGCCAACTGCGCCGGGGCTGAACTGCACGATATGCTGACAATCTTGCGTCCCTGGGCATTCGCTGGCACGACTGCCGTTGTCCACACCCTGTGGAGGGGACACGAGAAGCGGTGAACTTCCAAATTCTTTTTGCCGTGCTTGCTATGCACTCGTGAGCGAATGCAACCGGTGAGGCCAAGAATCGCCAATGCACCTTCGCAACTCAATGGGTTTGTCTACTGCTTGTCGCTGGCACCGCCGCGGTTGCTGCCCTCCTCCTCTCCCTCGTCTCGCTGCACCGCGCGCTGCCGAGGGTGTGCTCGCATCTTCTGGATGCCCCGGTCCGAACATCGTACTGCTCATCCTCCTTCTCCTCCACCTCCGGCCCGCCCTCCTCCTGCCATCCCCTTCTCTTGTGGCTTCAAGCGCACTCTCGGCGTCTTGCCTCCGCAGCCTGACCCGCCCCCCCCGCTCCTCTTTAGCAGCAGTAGCTGACACCAAGGCGCCCAGAGCAAGTCCCCGTCGGTTGAGCCCCCGCGGCGGCTCAGTGATACACGGTGTCCAGCTGGACCTCGGACGACGGGCGCAGGCAAGGCTGGCCGCGGGGCAACTGCAAGAACGGACCAGGGATGAACACAGGAATCTTCGCAGCATCACCTGGCTTGTTCAATCCTTCGTCGAAGCACCCTGCAAATGGGGCGGGTGCCTCGGCAGCGCCAGTCCTTCTGCTGGGAGCCAGCAAAACGAAGAGCCCGATCCCCTCATCCCGATTCTCCCCCTTCCATCCCCCTCCCCATCCCCTCTTCTCCCTCCTCGTCCTCCTCCTCCTCCTCCTCCTCCTCCTCCTCCGTAGCCATTTTGGCTCAAGCCGTCCACGACATTGCTCGAGCCGGCTCGCTCATTGAGTTGGAGCTGAAGGGGAACTTGGGATGGCTGCGGGAGGCCTGCAGGGCGGCGGATCGCCGCTCGAGCGTGTGCCACAGCGTGGAATGCCTGGGCTCGGCAGAGTGCGAACAACTGGCCAGGCGCCTCAGAAAGGGACGCACCCTTCAGACCGACAGGTCGCTCGTGGGCGAGGCTGTGCATTCAGCCATGGTCAGCATCGACCCTCCGCCTACGGCCGCCGCGGAGCTCGGGGGGAGGCTGGAGGCGCTGGGACGCGCCTTGGTGCTGCACCAGAGGCTCGACCGCATCTTCAATAGTCACCACCCTCGCCTCGGGGACACACTGCTTGAGGTAGCCAACTTCGTCCACATGCCCGACGGCTGATTGTAGCAGAGCATGCAGGTCAAGGCAGCGGGTGATCGTGCCCGCCACGAGGCTCGGATGCACGACAAGCCTGTTGGCGCAGACCCGCCCTCGGCTCGTGCCTCGGGCTTGCGTGAGGACACCCCGACGCTCGTTCTGCGGGCCGCTTGGCTCGGATCCCCTCGCACGGCGCGACCGTGGTCTCGCAAAGCCGTGGCCCGCCCTGCGGGGCCCCGCGCTGCACGGGAACGCCGAGGGCCGCCGGGAAAGCAGGTCGGGAATGAGGAGGGTCACTGTCGGCGAGGGGTGATTTCGGGGCTCGTGCCGCTCTCTGAGCTCCACAAGCAGGGGGGGGACTTGCCTGGCAGGGTGCGGGCGCAGGGGCAGCGGAGTGCGCGGCCTTCCGCGCGGCGCCGCGCGGCGCTGGATGGAGCGGCCAGCGGCCAGCGCTGGGAGGCCAGCGAGGCGTGGGTTCGGCGGCTCGACGACGCCAACGCCCTCCGGGGCGGTGCTGTGCTGGGTGCTTTCGGGTCCCCACGGGGAATGACTGCCCTTCCGCTGGCTGCTGTTGCCCGTGGTGCAGATCCAGGCGGTCTTGCAGCCACGCTGGATGGGCTCGGGAAGGCCCTGGCCGACATGGCAGCGGTGGCGCCCGCCGCGCCGCTGCCGCCGCAGCAGACGGCTTCCCCTGAGCGCATGCATGCGCAATGGCGCGGCCTGGATCCGACTTGCTGCCGGCGAGATCATGAGCTGCGGCGTCGTGCGCGGCCGGCCTTCGCCTACGCGTGCGAGTGGTGCAAGCGCGTCGCCATGAAGGAGGAGGTCCACGTGTTGCGGTGCCGAGCGTGCAGGTGCACGGTGCGCGAATCGCCATGAAGGAGGAAGCCCCTGTGTTGTGGTGACGAGCGTGCAGGCACACGGTGTGCCAAGTATGCCACAACCAGGGGCCTCGTTCGATGAGACGGAGATAAAACCGTAATGCGCCGATGGCCGAGCATCGACGCGGCGTTCACCCTGGACTGAAGGGGCCCCAGGACACACAAATAAATACACACAAATCAAAGGATTCCCCATATTTTCCTATATTGTCTGGGCTTCTGTCTTCCCCCCCACTGCCCATATTTTCGCATATTTTCTGTTTTTGTTTTTCCCTCCTGAAGGACCCACTGTGGAGGCGAACGTCGGGGAGCGCAGCGCGGTCAGGTGCAGACCTGGCCCCCCGCGGTTCCCCCTCCTCCCCCCGCAGCGTCGATAAATACCAGCGAGTTCCAGCGAATCCCTCCCCCTCATATTAAGTCGGGCCTGTCCCCCTACAGAGGGATTTTCGGCGAAAAATAAGCAATACCCCCAAAATAATCAAAAAATAATCCAAACATAGTCGGGGGACTGTTTTTAGAGTATTTTTTGACCATTGTGGAGCATGTTTGGGGGTATTTTTTTATCTTTCCTTCGAACATCTCCCTGCAGGGGACACGCCCGACTTAACCCTCATACTCCTCTCCACCGTCCGCTGGCTGCTGCTCCACCTCCTTCTCTTCGGCTACACGCAGGAGTGACCCTGGGTAAGAGTGACCTTTGGTGCGCGGCTTTTTGGGGGCCGCGGTGGGGCCAAACACAGGCGCGTAAGGCGCTACGGCGCTACTATCGCATCGCGTTCGACGATCGAGGGGCCCCACTGGGCCCGCACCCAAAGGTCACTCCGGCGAAAGGTCACTCTTACGTCCAGTCGATCTCTGCCCTCCTCCTCCTCTGGGCGCGGCCGCTGCCGCTGCCGGCGGCGCGGCTTCGGAGGCGCGCCGAGGCCCGCCGGCGCGCGCGGCCGTGCGACCGCGCCGGGAGGCACGGCCCGGGCGCGACGGAGGCGCCCGGCTGACGACGAGCACGAGGCGCCCAGGTCAGCGGCGGCGGTCCACCCCCCCCCGCCTTGCCCCGCCCTCCCTCCTCCCCCAGCACTGTCCTCCTCCTCCTCCTCGTCCTCCTCCTCCTCCTCGTCCTCCTCCTCCTCCTCATCCTCCTCCTCCTCCTCGTCCTCCTCCTGCTCCTCCTCCTCCTCCTCGTCCTCCTCCTCCTCCTCCTTCTTGTCCTCCTGTCAACGTCTGTACACATTATTGTCCCAACTGCTATCCTGATAATATGTTGGCAGGACGGGGTTTAGTGGGACCTGGTTCATAGTGACGTGTACCAGGGGACGCCCCCCCCTCGCCCCATTTTCCACTGACCGGATCTGCCCCCGCCCGAAAAGAACACCAGCGACGGCAGACCTGGCCTAGTGAGTCCTGCTCATTGTTTTGGATTCGGGGGCCAATCACTCCCTGGCTCCCCTTCCTTGGGGTCCGGGCTACATCAAACCTGCCCCTCCTCTCCGCAGGGCTGGTTCCGCGCTTGTCAGAAATTAGTGTTTTTCCCCAAGGCCCCATGCACGCGGGTACATCGAAACGCTATGTGTCGTTTCTCGTAGCCGGGTGAACGCCAGCAGTGATAGTCCAGACCCAACTCGACAGACGCAGGATCCCCTGCCCCCTGGGCTGTCCAGTTACGTACAATGAACGTGCGTCTATCGATTGGAATGGCGCCTGACAAGTGGCATCTACGTGAGGAAGGGCGCGAGGATACTGGCAATCATCAAGCTCGCTGGGGGGCGGGCATACTTATTCAGAAACTTCCTGTGGAAGTCACTGCGAACCATGTCGTTTATGAATCGCTGCTTTGTCTTCGGGACTGTGCGCGACTGGTTCTTGAATGCGGTGTCGTCGTCCCATTTCCTGCGACACGCATGTTAAGGGGACGAGAAAATAGAAAGAGGATCAACCACACCAATTAGCAGGAAGGATTATACAGACAGCAATGGAGATGCAGAGAATAACTGAGCAGGGACGTCCTCTTCAGCGATAAGTCAGCATTCTGTAACAGTGGGTTGCCCTTCATGATGTCCTCTCGCTTTGCTCTGTTGTCCTGCTTTTCCTTCTCTGCTTTGGCCTTCGCCTCCTCAGCCTCTCTCTCCTTCTTGATCTTGGCCAACTCCCTGCGGCTCCATCATTTTGAATCAGAGCGTCCGCACGCCTCATGCTAAACAATTGAATCAATGCCTGCACATAGTGGGTATGGACCCTAATGCACAAGTTCAAATCATGATGGCAATGCTGGGCAAACGACATGGCACCAAACAACGCCCGAACGCGCCACGGACAGGTCCTGAACAGCATGAGCAAAAACAAGACACGTCATAACACAGCCAGCGCACGGCATGGCGCCGCACTGCATGCGGCCCTCCACGGCACAACATGGCGCCGCCCGGACGAATTACTGAGTTGGCCGACTCCCGAAACCGAATACCCAAACAGGCTGAACTCTCGTGTCCACTCCCGACGCGTTCCGCCGAGCTTCTGGGCACACTCCCGCCGCTGTCTTACTTCCGCCGGCCTCCCGCCGAAAGCGAGGGTGCCCCAAAGGCGAGGACCTCTCTGCATGGAGCGCACCTCCGGACCCACGGCACGTCCACGGCGTGGCACGCGGGGACGGCATCGCGAACTGGACCCGCGACACGGAGGGGCACATGGCACGGCACACGGCGCTCGCGGCCCGCGGCACGGCTGACGGCGTGACGCGAGGCGCCACACCTCGCGCCACAAGCTGTGCCGAAGACCTCCCGACAACATCACGTCTCGGCCCGCTCTGTCCAGTCAAATCGCGCGGCACGTTGCGCCGTAGTCCGCCCGCCCGGAGCACGCATGTGTCCGCCTTGCCAGGAGTGTGCCACAGGTTGCGCCGCAGCCCGCCCGACCGAATCAACGCTTGGTCAGCTGCGTCCCCCTTCTGAAAGCAAGTAAGGCCCTCACAGCATCCGGTGTTTTGAGGACCTCTCCATGAACCCACACTAAGCTGGGTAACCTTCGAAGAGGCCCCCAGAAACGCAACATCAAGCTGTCAAGCTCGGATGCCTTCGGTACCAACTCTTCCCCCGCACTGCTCCCTCACAATCATCGCCCTCTTGTCCCTGCTCCGCCTCATCCGCCTCGTCGTCGTCGTTGTCGTCAGACTCGTTTCCTCCCACGCCTCCTGCTACTACTACTATTTCTGTTGTTTTCACAGAGCCTAGGTCGCTATTACGAAGGCCGCGCTCAAAAATCTAGCATTTGTTCCAGAGGCTGTATGGCTTCGTCCAAGGCGATGGTTTCAGCGAGCCTCCCAAAGCGTGGCATTGGCCATTCCTTGCATTTTCTTCCCCCTCCCACCTCTCTCCCTTCCCATCGTTTCTCCGTCGTTCCGCTCTCGCCTCTCGCCTCTCGCTTCCCCCTCTCCCCGTCCTACCTCCTGCTGAGTTGCTGACCCGTCGCTGGAACTGGAAAGCCTCGCCACGGAAGATGAGATCCATCCTCCCGTCCTCCCCCTCCTCATTATCCTCCCTGTGTAGGGCCAGTCTGGAGAACCCCGAGGTTGGAAAGAACGACTCGTTGTTGTTCCTATCCCTCTCTCTTATTGGTGTGGGCACGCCTCGACGAAGTGGCACACGCGCGGGTGTCTCGCTGAGACAGCGACATTCACAGGAGCAGCACTGACGCAAAGGCCTCAAACATCCCTCTCACGCGCCCATGCTCGCCTCAGCCCTCTTCCAGTCGAGTAGCTGCATTGATCCCCGTGGCTCGGGTGTGCAACGGTCCTGACCAGCTGCCGTGTAGTTCAACGCGCCAAAGCCAGCCTACCAGTGGCATGTGCAGCTCCGCTCAATCAGGGCGGCACATGCCCAAACACATGTGCAACGGTTGCCTCTGGCGGGACATGTCCAAGTAGCTTGTTGCCCGACAAGAGCGCATCAACTTTAGAGCATGCCGAACCTAGCGCGTTTTCAACACGAGCAACTAATTGGGCATGTGTCATGCCGAGCTGGTCAGTGGGCTTATTCCGACAAATCTCATTTCCGCCCAAGGAAACGAAACTCAGAGACGCCGTAGTGCTATCGAACACTGCCTGCAGGATTAAAGCTGGCCGCAAAATTGCTGAATAAGACCTACCTCCGTCTAGAGCCAAGAGTTCGCACTGTCCATAGTGATGATCTCCATGAGCCACGGCTGTGCCGTCGCCCCAGAGCAATACAATGTTGCAGCCTCCTGCCACAACGTTGGTGTGGGTCCGATCTGCCTGAGAAGGGGGACAATTCGTCGATCCCTGCGGACCATCGGCATGAGCGATGTCTGCTTCTCCATGGAGCAGTCCCCAAGGAGCGGGGTAAGAATCCCACCAGCCCTCTGGGCGTCGGTGGTTTAGGGCGTTTCCCCTTCAACCCCTCCCTCTTCCCCTTCGGGGAGGGGTTTACCCCTCCCCCTACCCCCTCCCCACTGACCTGGACAGGAGGGGCGGGGAGCGGTCAGAGCGTCCAAGATGGCCCAGGACGGCTCCAAGAGGGCCTCAATGAGCCCAAGATCGCCTCCAAGATGGCTCAAGATAGCGCAAGATGCCTGAAGATGGTTCAGAAGACGCTCCAACACGTTCCAAGACCGCTCCAAGATGGTTCCAATTGCCCACAAGAGCATCATTAGAGTGCCCTCAAAAGGCCGAAATGCTTCAAAACCCTGAGAAAAAATCAATGTTTTTGGTGTTCTCACTTTTTCGCTTCCGAAGCCCATCCGAGGCCTCAAGATGGCGTCAAGATGTCCCAACTGGGCCCCAACAGGGGCCCAAGAGAGCCTCAAGACTGCCTCAACAGCGTCCAAGAGCGCTCCAAGAGCGATCCAAGAGGGGTACAGGAAGCGATTTTAGACAGTCTGGAGGGGCAACGCTAATTAAAGCTCTGCTCTTCTTTGATAGATTTGCTCCAAGATGCCCCCCCAGAGCGCCCCGATGGCGTCTAAAAGGACCCCAGACGCCCAAAAACGGCTTCAAAATAAATTCAATCGAGCGCTCGCGCGGGACGCGAAGCCCAGAATACTGCGAAAACAAATGTAAGAGCAACCGAAACGATCAAATGCTTCTCACAGCCCACCAAACCGTTCGAAGATACCTCCAAGACGCCACCAGGGAGGAGGAAGAGGCGGAGGAAGAGGAGGAGGAGGAGGAGGAGGAGGAGGAGGAGGAGGAGGAGAGGGAGGAGGAGAGGAGGAGGAGGAAGAAGGCGGAGGAGAAGGAGGAAGAGGGGGAGAAGAACAGCTGCCGATCATCGGCGCTCTTCGTTCGAGTGCCTGGTGTAGGATGGGCTGGTGGGGATACGCGAAGCGTCAAGAATTTCGCTGTGGTGGCCTCGAAAACGGCCCAAGAGATGTCAGAGGAGCCAGTGTGTGCTCAGCAGCCACGAGCTTGGTAAGATGGACCCATAACAACCCAAAACGCCCACACGCTGCTGAGATCATTTAGGAGGGCCACTGGACGCCGGCTTGACAACCCCAAACGCCTCCAAGACAAACCTAAAGTTCCGGGTTACACCCAGAAGTGCGCAAGAGACCCCAAGACGGCACAAGAGAGACCCCCAACTGCCAAAACGATTGGAGACACCATTTGTCATGCAGCGACTTTGGCCCTCCAAGCTTTCTGGTCTTGCTGCGAAGTTGGTTCAGAAGGTAGCGCGATGCCCTCAGGACGGCCCAAGATTGCTCCAGAGGGCCTCATGGAGGGCCCACATCCGCTCAGGAATCCTACGATGGTCACAGTTGGCGCCATGACGGCCCACCGACAGCGCAGGAGCACCCCAGAAGGCTCCAAGAGAAATACGAGAGACCCCAATCAACGCCCAAGGGATTGCGAAAGCTGCCCCGACCACCGAACATCATCATAGGAAATAACTAGCCCTCGGAAGGCGAAAGGCGTTTGCGTGAAATGTGTATGCGTGTGTGTGTGTTTGTGTTTGTGTGTGTTTGTGTGTTTTGTGTGTTTTGTGTGTTGTGTGTGTCGTGTCTGTGTGTGTTGTGTGTTGTGTGTGTTTGTGTGTGTTGTGTGTTTGTGTGTCGTGTGTGTTGTGTGTGTGTGTTTTGGGGAGGGGAGGGGGGGGGGGACTCTGATCTGGATCGCGGTGCTTCCTTGCCCTGGAGCCCTGTGCAGCCAGGGAGGCACGGCTTGGTGACGCCTCCTCCCCCTCCTATTCCTCCTCCTCGTCCGCCTCATCTTCTCTTCCCCTCCTGAAGCGTCCAAGACTTCGTCACAACTCTCATGCTTAATAAGCCGGCGGAATGGCAAGAACAACAGCAAAGACGAACCCGAATTCCAGATTACTCCCCCAACCCCTTCTGGAACGGATCTTCACTCCATGTTGGTTGGCCCTCCTGGGCCCCTTGGCATCAAATAGCAGCCCCTTGCGACCCAGAAGACGCCTCTTCGGCCCAACTTGTCCGATAACTCGGCTACTTGAATAAAAACACAACACAACTCATGTACGTTCAAAATTTGTTCGCCTGGCTGGGGGTCGCCTGGGGGCTTGAAAACAACTTGTTGAGCTCGCCTCTTGTATGCCTCAGAATAGGAAGTTCTACGCCGTTGATGACGAACTCCGGGATCAGGGGATTGGCGATCCTGGGATCCCCTTGGGCCCCGAAGCGGAAGCCACATCGGGTCAGACCCGAGCCTGCAACGGATGCGATTCGGACGGCGCTCGGGCCCATCCAGGGATGCTCGCGCAAGCCGCCTGAGAGCTCAGCTGGGCCCCCTCGGGGCGTTCCTTTGCCATTTTCAAGTCCATCTCGGGGCCCTTATTCGGCCATGATTTGCTCCTGGGCAATCTTGGGGCAATTTCTGGGACATGGCCGGGAGGATGCGTGCCCGCAACATCCCTTGAACCTCATTGGGGGGGGGAGGCCGCCAACCGTCAAGAAGGACTTGGAACCCATCAGCCAGAGCTTGGTTGTCGAAACAGGAGTGGACGGGATTGTCCGCCTTGTAGATGGGATGAGCCAGGGCCAACGTCTCGGCCAATTTGGGCGCTGTTAGACAGCCCGTTAATGTGGGCCACGTACTTGAGTCGGTGCCCAGCCCCGCAGTAGACGCTTTACGCCGCCCAGGCATGCAAATCAATGCGCTTGGTGAGAGCAGGCGCCATCCGTGGCCGCGAATACCCAACATCCCCGCAGGTTGGGTCAGTGTGGCGCTGGAGGCGAGAGAGAGAGAGTAAGACAAACAACGAGGAAACAAGCCGCCCGCCTCATGAGTTCCTCCTCGTCGTCGTCATCGTCCTCGTCCTCGACCTCCGCGTCGGACTTCTCGGAGGGGCTGTGGGACTTCTTTTTGCCCGGGCCGAGCAGGATGGTAGGGGAGGATGGCCAAAGAGGAGGGCGAGGAGGACGCAGCAGGCTGGCACGGGCTGCAACACGGTGCTGAAGGCGGGCATCTCGCTCGAAGCCCTCGCGGGACAGTCAACGCCCTGCTGTTACCCTCCTCCGGCATCTCCTCCTCAACCTCCCGTCGTGCAGTCACGTGGCAACGGCGGAGTTCCCAGCACTTAACGAATTCTCCTGGCGCCTGTCTCCTCTGCCTCCCATCTCTTCCTCCTCCTCCTCCGTCCTCCCTCTCCCTCCTCCCCCTCCTCCTCCTTCCGCCCTCTCCTCCTCAAGCTCGTCCTCCCTTCACCTCTGCCCCTCCTCCTCGTTGCCCCTTTTCCCCTCCTCGTCGTCCTCCTCCTCCTCCTCCTCCTCCTCGTGCCGTTCCTCCTCGACCTTTTCATTTTCCGTGTGTCATCCTCTGGCTCCTCTCCATTTTCAATCCTTTGCCCCATCTCGTCCTCAATCGCACCCCCGTCCCCCAGACAGCGCGTGCCTCGCAAGATCGGAAGCCTGTGGGAGAGTGCCGCCGGCAGGCCGAGAAAGGCTGGAACCAGACGGGCGAGGGGGACGGAGGAGGAGGAGGACCAGGACGAGGAGGGGGAGGACGACAACACAAGACACGACAAGACAAGACAAGAACCGATGCGAACCAACTCCTTGACAAGACCAGGCATGACACCTGCTCGCACTCCTGGATGCGCAGATTACGCCTTACCAGCGGTTGCCGTTGGAAGGACGGCCCTCTCTGGCCGACTGTGGGACAGGCCAAAAAAGGAGACCAAGCTGCCCGCATAAACACACAGCACGGCACGGCCATGGTAAACACCAAGCTCTGGCTGACCATAGTCGGCTCGCCCCCGCGAGCCACTTCGGGCAGCTCAGCACGCCCACGCGCCGAAGCCGTTACAGCAATGCCGAATTCTAGGAAGACGCACTAAAGAGTGTGGGTGCCGACGAAAAGGAAACAAATACCTGCCCTCCTCCTGCGGGCACGCACCGGGACAGGTTGCGGTTTCCAACGTTGTGCGGCCCGACCGCGCATCGCAAAAAACTCGGCTCACCCCCTGGGCGGGGAAAAACCAATCACCCGAGGACACACCCAACCCTTGCAAACCATGAGGCGACGAATTATACCAAGGACCGGTCCACCAAAAAACTTCAATGTGTCCTCGGTTCCTTTGGCAACCTCGCTGAACAACGTCGAACCACACCCACGTTTGCTCGATTCGCGGCATCACTCCCGCGACTTACATCATAGGCAGGACGGCGACCACAAGCACACAAAATATCAAACGCGACGGGGGCAAAGCATTGAGAGGAGGGAACAAGGGACAATACCAGTGGGAGTAAAGGCGGAGCGCGCTGCACTCCAGTTATAGAACTGCGTCCTTCGCGGCGGGATCGAAACAGCGCAGTGTGCTGAGTGGCCCAAGTGTCCAGGCTCTGTAACTGAACCGCGCGGCGCGCTGAGTGCTCGACATGTCCGATCGCATGGAGGGCAAGAGGCAAGTGACGAGGGGATGCGGGAGCGGCAAAGAACTGCGCGGCGCCCGAGCGCCCGATGATCTGCGATCGAACAGCGCCACGCGCAGCGTGGCGGGACCGCGCCGTGCGGTATGGGGCCTCTTACGAATGCGACTGGCCAGTGACAGATGCAGGCGCTGCCGCCCGCACAGCTTCAACTTCGGGAGCGGCCAAGGAGGGGGATGTCCAAGAGGGGGGGGGTGCAAATCATGACCGGCGGCACGTGCGCGGCCCAGCGGGGGGGCCAGGGACGTAATGAAATAAGAAGAGGCGCCATGAAATCTGGGGATATATCATGACCCCCGCCATTATATCCACCCCCCCTAATCATTACCCCCCTCTTTTCCGCCCCTGACAAGTATCAATGAACATTCACAGAAACACGCCCGGAACCACTGGCAGGTTTCCCTTCCGCGCGGGCGCCGGAGGTCCGAACTCGGGCGGCCAGGTCCGTCGGTGGCCCCGGGAACAGACAGCCGAGGCCTGGGTCGCAGATCATCAGGAGGTTGCCCGACGCCGTCGCCCACGAGAGCATGGCGCGCTGGTGGAGCCAGAACCCGCCCAGACGTCAACGTCAATATGCACGTCGCGGATGGTCCAACCCTCGCGCATTTCCTGGCCCTGGCAGGCCGTCGGCGCGAGCACCTTTGCGCGGGAGATCTGCAGGCCTGTGCGCGCCACTCTGCGCTCGCAGCAGTCAAGGGGGCTCGATGCATGCGGCCCCGTGAAGACGAGTTGCTCCGTGTCCGAGATGTCCCCCGCCCACTCTGCGCGCGCTGCTAGCCAACCGCGGAACGGGGCGGCCCTGCAATTGACCACGCGGGAACGCAGCGGCAAGCAGAGCAGGAAAGCCGGGCGGTCCTTTGCCCCAACTTGAATTTTGATGCCCACGTGAACGATATTGCCCTAGGCGTCCTTGACTAACTTCCGTTTGAGATCGAAATGCTCCAGCGCATCAATTCGCAAGCCCGAACGCAATGGCAACATCCCGTGCGCGCCGCCACCGAGACCCGCGTTCACCTGATTCCGCAGCTTCGCGACCAGGTCCACAGGCAGCTATGGCGAACGCGCGTCGGCGACCTGCTCGGGGCAAATGAACCGCCACGGGGTCTGGGCGTTTTGCTTTGCACGCGTCATGGTCCAACGAACCACTGTGTCCCAACACCACGCAAACATGCGTCCCGTCTGGAACCGTTCTTCTGCCAACCTCGGGTCGTCCGTCTTCAACTGGATGCATCTCCGCGCATCGGTGGCGATGACCGGCACCTTGCCCATCTTCGGTTCGCCCACCTGCTCTGCGAGGCGCAAGTCCTTGAAGCAGCTGGTGGCAGCTCCAAACACGGGGAAATACTGGTGCTCCTGGTGCCCAACGGGCAACATTATATTTTGCTGCCGGCTTCTGCCATCCCTAATCACGATTGGAAATCTACCAACCATGCAGGAGGGCTTCTGGTAGTCCGCCCCCTTCAGATTGCACTTGGCGCGCCTGGCCTGGATGGCGCAATCCAGGAGCATTTTGCAAAGGTTGAAACACCACGCTCACCATCTCGATCGCGAAAGGTCTGGTCACCGGAAACGTTCTCAAGATGCGCGCACACGTCGGCGTCGAGCACCACCTCTGTTCCGGGGCTCATCTGCGCCGCCCAATGACACGTGGTCGGCGTGTGGGTTCCTGTGAACATGTCCTCGGCCTGGGACCGTCTGAAACGTGCGGCACAGGCGATCAGCGTGGATGGGGCCCCGAACAGAAAGTCCATGGCGGGCTGCGCGATTTGCCTGTTTTACCGGAGCCCCCTCGGCCCAAGTATGCCATCTAGAAGGTCCGTCGACAGTCTCACGGGACTTATTCCTCCTCGTCGTCCCACGCAGCATTGCAGGCATCCGCGTCTGGTCCCTCTTCGGAATGCGAAATCCACTGGCCCTCTTCCAATCTCTTCGCGAGGTGAGCCATGTAATTGCTCGGGGAGCGCCAGAAGTCGCTGGGCGCACAGAATACCGGCGGCTCGGGGCGACGCCACTCTGGTGGGCCTCCGAGAGCCCGAGAAAATAATGACAACTTTGCAATTCGCAGGCCGACATGAAGTCGAGAGGCCTACGCTGGACATGCCTAAACCACCACTCCGCTGGGCCCCAAGGACTTACGAAAGGCGCGATCGTGTTGCGGTTCGCAACTCCCCAGGGAGCTGGGAGGTCAAGTCTAAGCGTGCGTAAGACACCACCCCGCTGGGCCCCAAGGAGCTCACGAAAAACGCGAGGACATCAGAGTTCGCTGCCCCCCAGGGAACCGCGAGGTCGAGTTTGAATGTGCGTAGGACACCACTCCGCTGGGCTCCCCAGGGGCCCATGAACGTGGCAGCGTTTTCGCAAATTCTAGCCCACAGGGAGCCGATATGTCGAGTCTGGATGCGCGGACACACACACTACTTCGCTAGGCCCACATGGGTTGACCAAGGTGGCGCCAGCGTCACAGTTCACAACCCTCCGGGGACCCGAGAGGTCTGGTCTGGATGCGCGTAAGGTACCACTCCGCTGGGCCCCCAAGAGCCCACGGAAGTGGCGACAGTTTTGCAGCTCGCAGCCTCACAGGGTGCCTCGGGATCGAGTCTCGAAATGCGTAAGACACCGCTCCGTTGGGCACCCCAAGAGCCCACGTAAATGGCGACGGTTTCTTGATTCGTAGCCTCCCAGGGAGCCGAGATGTCTAGGCTGGTTGTGCCTCAGGCACAAACCACAATCTCGCAGTTCGCAGCCCCCCAAGGACGGCGAGGGCTCACTCTAATCAGCGTCTATCACCACTCTGCTCGTCATCCCAGTGTTGTCCCCAAAGAAGAGCGAAGTTGATAGACAGTTTCGCTAAACGCAGCCTCCCGCCAGGGGGAGGAACGGAGGAGGAGGAGGAGGAGGAGGAGGAGGAGGAGGAGGAGGATGAAGCGGTTGTTGTGGATCGCGTGAACACAGTGACTAAAACAACTCGCCTCATCGGAATCGGTGTCAGATTCCACATCCGACCCAGCTCGACGGGACGTCCCCCCGAGAGCCTGCACTCTATCCACGTCAGAAGGAGTCCGAAAGCCTCCAGGACCACCTGCTCGGATACGAAACCAGGGGCCTCATGGGCCTCTCTGAGAGGGCAGCTCGCCGAACCAGGCGCAGCTTCGAGGAGGAGGAGGAGGAGGAGGAGGAGGGGGAGGAGGAAGAGCAGGAGGAGGAGGAGGAGGAGGAGGGAGGAGGAGGAACGAGGAGACGACATTACTGTTTTCAAGTTATGCCAACCGAGGGACGGCCGACCATAATCCTGCACGGTGCCTGTTGTGGGCTGTTGTGGGGGTAGATCTTCTGCCCTCCAACAAGGGGGGGGGGCTCCACCGGTGGCCCCAGTGGAGCTGCTCGCACAGCGCCGCCGCGCCCTTTCTGGCACCCCCCCTCGCGCGGCGACGAGGCCCCGCTGGGGGGGGGGGCCAGGGCTTCCCTGCGTGCGTCTGCTCCGTGGCACCCTTCTAGCTTCCCGGGGCGCCCCACCCCACTGCCAACCCCCTACGCCAGGGCGCACAAGCGTATACACAATACTCCTGTGGCTCCACAACGCCGCGGAGGCGTTGAGCTCGGAAGGAACACTTAGAGAATCCATCGCGAACCCACTTTGCGCATCCCCCGGGTGAACTGATGGTCGGCACAACGGAAGAAAACATCATGATGATGGTGCGCCCCTCGTCTTGCTCCTGCTGCTTCTGCGGCTGCTGCCCCTCGCCCTCAGCAAGAACCAGCCGCGGCTGCCGTTGGCCCATCTTGGACAAGATCTGATCTCTGAGCTCGACCGGTAAGGGACGCTAGCAGAGCAGGACCTGGCTCCGCTGAGACGAGCGTCGGACATCGCGGACGGATCGGGGTGAGGAAGGAAAGGGAAATGAGGAGGATGAGGAGGAAGATGGGGGGAAGGGGATGACGAAGGGCAGGGGGAAGGGAGAAAGGCGAGGGCGATGGTGAGAAGGGAGGGGGGAAAGATGATGACAGGCAGGAGCAGCAGGAGCAGGGGGGCAGGAGGAGGAGGAGGAGGATGAACGCCTCCTCCCGTGCTCTCTTCGCTCTCCCCACTCCTTCCGCTCTCACTCTCCTGGCGAACCCGAAACACAAGAGGCATAGACATACATTCGCGAGGGTACCGGCTAATTTCGCGGGTTGGCGCGGGACCCACCTCATAGACCTGTCGGCGTTTCAGGCGCCGACCAAATGAACCCGAGCGGACCCGAGAAACAAACATGCTTGCTCGGTCTTGCAAGGATTGACAAGAACCTCTTTAGCAAGCGCCCGTTTGAAATGCTGCCAGGGGAACTCACGCGCGGCACCGCCGCATTCAGAGTGCACCCGAGCGGAACAGCGAATCGCATCGAGGAGCTACCGAGTTTTCCAGGAACACACGTCGATTCGCGAAACCAGCAGGGGGCTGCACCAGTTCAGTGCGGACCCCCATGTCGACTAAACAGGCGCATGCTGCCTCAATCGACTTGTCTGGGTGGGCGTTCTCTGTGCCCGAGCTCTGTGGTGATTCTAGCGTCCCCTCTCCTCGCGCCGAATGAACAAAAAACCAAACAAGGTGGGCCCCCGGGTCCAAAAACACATTTCCCAAAACGTTGAGTAGTCGGAACCCTCGAGGCCCCACGCCCTCGACAGGCGCATCCTGACTGCATGCCGGCGGTCAAGAACTTTTGCTTCGCGTGTCGCGGGAGCACGCCATGCCCGGCTGAGCGGATAGCGTGCCGCTCCGCTCCGCGGGGCAGGAGGCTGGGAAAAGCTCGGAACGTCGACGCTTGGAGACAGCGACGTGGCTCGGGTGTCGCGCCGAAGCGCGGTGGACCAGAACTGGCGGCGCGACACGCTGAGCAAAAGTTCCCGAGCGAAACCGCATACCAGCTATGATGTGCACCCACCCCGCGCCACCGCGCCCGAGGTCCTGAACTTGCCCCTTCCACGCGCGCCGAAACCACCCCCCACGCAGTCCAACGTACACCCCCCCCTTCTTTTGGGGGGGCGACTTGCTACGCTCACCCGGCTCACAGTTTGAAAGGCATTCGGTTCGCCGTTCCGGGAGGCCTCCTTCCCCTGCTCTTCCTCCTTTCGTCGTCCACCCTCATCCTGACATCTTTGAACCGGACGAACTATTCATGTAGCTGCTGCGCGAACATATCAGATCTCTCAAACCCTCTGCCTCTTCCTCCTCCCCAGGTCCTGCTCCCGAGGAGGCCACAAGAGGCCCCAGGTGGTCCCCCAGGAAGCTCAAGGAAGCCCCAGGAAACCACAAGAGGCCCCAGAACGGTCCAAGAAGCCCCATGACTCACCCCGGTTCCCCACCAGATCACCCCCCCTTCTCAAGCAACCGAACGAGGAGGGGGACGGGGGAAAGGATGGGCGAGGAGGCGAACAGAGAAGGGCCACATGCGGCCCAAGTGCCGTCCAAACTGACTTCTATGTCGCTGCTCGAGCCTCCCATGGACGGACGTCGAAATGAGGAAGAGGACAGGGAGGGGAAGAGCAGGGAGAGGGCAAAGAAGCACTCCGAGACCCAACGCATCAAAGCAGCCACAACCGCGCACGGCATCGAGACCAGAACATCCTTCGGTACGGGATTAAACTCGAACCTGATCGTCGATCCGTGAAGCTCCTGGGGCCCCAGACCGGGCAGAAACAACCGTCGACAAGTTGCCAGGACCACCCAGTCCTGAGTGAGCAAGAAGGAATACTCCAGATGTCGTAATCAAAGGGAGTGGGTCACAACCCTCCCAGACCAGAAGTTTTAGACCCCCCCAGACCATCCATGAAAGGGCGGCACTTTGCCCAGACCCCCCCCGAACCCTTCATGACAGCTCAAATCAGACCCCCCCGCCAAATGTGACCCCCCCTACTTTATCGTGGAATCCGGAGTACACGATCCATCATGCAGCTGCTGCCATGCCATGTGTGGCCTCCAGGCGTGCCGACTTCTCATCTGTGGCACCGCCGAGCGCCAAACCACGAAACAAGGGACCTGTTTGCTTTCCTCTTCCGCGTCGTGTCTCAACTTCCTCGGATCTCTGCATGTTTCGGCATGCCAACAAATCATCCCGTGGCGTCGGCTCCAAGATCTGCCTCCTACTCCTCATACTCCTCCCGGTGATGTGCAAGAAAACAGGCTCCTGGGCGGCCCGTCGTCGTCCGCGTCCTTCGGAAGTAGCAACGAGTGCGCGTCGGCGGCAGCGGAGAAGGAGCAGAAGAAAAAACGCCCGAGTCGACTCTCAAGTGAGTGGCCAAGGTCGTCAGCAGCCAAAAAGGCTGGTTCTGGCAGACGGTAGTTTGGCGGCCCCAGCCAGAATGGAAGTCGGCAGTCGGACAGAGGAAGGACGGGGGAGGTAGAGCAGGCGTAGTAGACTTGCTTATTAGAGTTACGTGTGACGAGGGACGACTTTTTGCCAACATTGCCACTGCTAAATGAGATAGCCCTGGGACAGCCCAAGACAGCGGCGAAACACCCCCCGCCCATTCTGCCGCTGACTGTTTCGAGAACGACCCCAAGATGTTTCGATCGAGCCTCTTCGGGATGGCTCCATGTCGCCTTAGACGGCCCAAGAGCGACCCCACAGGACCATGGTAGACCCACGGCGGATCCTGGCCTGCCGCACGCAGCTGGCATCGGGGCTGCTGATCGCCGGGCCCCAAATAGCCAGACCACTGAAGCAGCTACATCGAAGAAGAACTTAAATTCGAGGGTGGAGGGGTGGGAGGCAAGAGTAAAACGGCGAATCCCCCACTGATAACCGATTTCGACTTCGGTGGTCAAAAAAAGCCACGACATGTCCGGCGCGTGATTTCTGGGGTTGTTCCGAGGTTCGTTCTGTGGTCGTGCAGGCCGCCAAAGGTAGCCCCGCGGTGGTCCTGTGCGTTTGTCCCGTGAGGTGGCTGGATTGTGAGTTCGATCCATGCGCTCGATGGTCCTACAAATTCCCCAAGCGGTGCCTGCACTTCTGGAGCTCTTTCTTCGCTTCTGAGGGGACTAGGCCCCACCGGCTCGTGACCGCCCGCCGCCGCGCGTCGCCGCCGTCCGCCGCTGCCGTGAGCGGGCCCCGATACCGCCTCGGCCGGCTTGTGGCCGCCCGTTGCCGCCCGCGCCGCCATACGTCGCGCCACGTTCTCGGCGTTGCTTTGCATTGGTTTGCACTGCCTTTCATAGCTTTGCATCGCGTTGCACTGCGTTGCTTTAAGTTGCATCGCGTTGCATCGCATTGCATCGCATGGCATGGCATCGCATTGCATCGCATGGCATCGCTTTGCATTGCTGTGCCTTGTTGTGTTGGGTTACTTTGCATTGCTTTGCATTGCTGTGCATTGCTGTGCATTGCTCTGTATTGCGTTGCGTTGCTTTGCATTGCGTTGTGTTGCATTGAGTTGCGTTGCTTTGGGAACAGATATTGCTTTGGGAACAGATATTGCACCACCTACTCGTTTGCACCACCTTTGGGGGGTCGACGCTGGCATATTCGAACTCATTCGATATACTGTTAGATACGGAGGTCGCTTTTCAATGTACAGTTGGACCGTTCTACAGACGCTGCCCCCGTATGGCATTCAGACTCAAACACTTCCCCCAAGACAACTCCAAGAGAATTACAGGCCGCCATTTTCAACGTCCCCAAGAAAGCCCAAGAGGCCAAGTTGGCTCTGGGATAGTCCCGAGACGGCCCCCAGATTGCCCCAAGATGGGCCCCCCGCAAGTGTCCAAGAGGCATCCTAGAGATACCAGGCGGCCCAAGAGACACAGGATGGTCCCATCATGGACCAAGGGCACTCAGCGGGCCCACGGTTGCGTCCAATAATTTCCGAGACCCCTCCACGACGGCCCCGAGACTCTTAGACCCAGGAGAAGTCCAAACACGACCCAGAACAATTCGAAAAGGCCGCAACAACGCTTCAAGAGCGTCTCGAGGCCATCACACGAGTAATGACCGATTCGTAACATCGCGTGATTGATTCACTGTGAGGGCCCGCCGTGACTCTTGATCTGCGGGCTCGGGTAAAAAAACACTGACAGAAGTATCACAACCTTGCCAATTGAGATGATGGTTAGAATTGCTCGGTGAACCATTGACAGACCGCGCTGGCAACGAAATACGAGCGGCACTGAAACTGAAAGTCGGAGCTCGTGACAGGACAACGAAATTGACGGTGCTAACCAACACGAGAAGTTTCGATTGCACAGCAGAATGGCGATACAGCCCATAAACGACCTTTTGCGCGCAAGCGACGAGGCTGCTGTGATGTCTGACTGCGATTTACACTTCTCAAAAGGAGTAGGCTCAGCGGAAAGGCATCACACAACTCGAATGAGTCCTGGTGAACAGAATCAGTCGACATGCAGCCATTTGGCACGAAACACTAAAACGCTGAAACCCTCTGAGTCCTCGGGGAACGGGTTGTTCTCCTCAATGGCCTCACCAGACATTAGACTCGCGAGGGTGGAAAACCGAAGGAAGACGGCGATGCTGAACAAACGAGGCCACTGGAATACAGCAGTGACAGGGCAGGAGTGGCATGTCAGTGATTGAACGATCAGCGGAACATCCTCCGCGAGGTTCCGATGCCAAAACTTTCAGCGCAGGATGGTCGTCGAACCGCGCGCTGCACCTCGCATACAGTCACCGTGCTACCATCGGGAGCGCAGGCTTACGTCTGTTCACGGCGAGCCTCGGCCACGAAGAGGCTCCCCGACCTGGACCCCAGGGAGCCGGAGCGCCAGCCGAGAGGACAAGCTGGGGCGCGGCCGCGACCGAGAACGGAGATCGCGACCAAGAATGGAGAGATGGAGAGAGGAAGTCGAGAAAAAGGAGGAGGAGAAGGACGACGAGCGGCAGTAGCATCAGGTCCCACTGATGCAACCATGAAGCTGATCCAAGATACCAGGCACCAGCCCCCGACCTTCAACGCTGTACGGCAGGTTCACGTCGCGATGACCCGGGCGTTGGTTTCTGTCCCCGCACGGATCGTTCAATGCTTGAACGACCGAAGCTTTCCTGGTAATGCAGATCGCCCGGCATCGGCCTGGTCTTGGCGGCCACTGGCGGCTACCTCGGTGGTTCAAAGAAGGGGCCTTGAGGGATGGGGCCCTGAGGATAATTAGGCAAGGATGCGAAGGTGGATTCACATCGTTCAGGACCACATTCCCTCAGACCCCCTCTTCGAACCTCCGACCACTGCACGTCGCCGCGCGCGGCGGCGCGGCACCGCCGAGCCTCCCCCCCTTCGGCACGCCGTTCGAGCGAGCCCCGCGGCGTCGGAGAGGCGACCGCGAGGCGAGGCGGGGGGAAGGAGGAGGTACCGATGCCGCTGCTCCTCGGACCTCCCTCTCCTGGCTCTGGCAGGGGGCTCCGTGGCAAATCCAACTGTGGCGACGAGGGCATTCCACGACTTGGGGGTAGCGGTAGCGGTACCTTTTTCTTCCTCTTCTGCGAGGCGGAGCACAGGAAGGCGGGACATGGAGCGCGCGAGAGGCGAGAGCGCGGGGGTCAGCGCCAGCGCGGCCTCCCACGGAGGGGCCGCGGCTCATTCCGAAACCCTGGATCCCAAGATATCGGCGCCTCCATTTTGTCCGCCACATTCCGCTGGCTGCCACCGGCGGACCCGCCGCCTTTCTACTTTCGCAGGCTTCCGCTGGCATTCCGCCAGACTTCGTCCAGGGCTAGCCGCGGCAGAGTCGAGGCCGTTTGGGAAAGGCCCAGCGAATGCTATAGCTCGACAGAGCTGCTCTCCGACAAGCGAATCCTCTCCTGAACTACGCCTGCGCGGCCTTCATCATGTGTGGAGGCCTTGCTCCTCCTTCTCCTCTTCCTCCTTCTCCTCCGTCTCCTCCTCCTCTGGAGCGGATTTCTGACCTGCCAGCAGGTCTACGAGCCAGGCATACCCCAGGCCTGGTGCTTCCCTGCGAAGGAGAGCGGCGGTGGCTACGCCGTTCGCCCAATTCGATATCGGCCCGAATCTGACCCCACACCCAACTGCGCGCTGGTCCTCAGGACCAGCGGCACGCGCGGCGATGCGGGAGTCGACGGCGAGTTCCCTCCGCCCACCGCTCTCCTCCTCCTCCTCCTCCTGGTTCTCCTCTTCCTCCTTTTCCTGATTCCTGATGGCCTGAAGGTTCTCCGAACGTAGCCCTCCTCCTTCTCCTCCTCCTCCTCCTCCTGTTTCGTCTGCGCTGGTCGCCAATCTCGCCACCGCCCGCCCGCCTGTTCCGTCTCCTCCGTCGGCTGCCCGCCTCTGCCGCTCGCTCTGTACGGTCAGGAGCGTTTGCGTAGTGCGCCGCGTCGGCAGCCCTGGCGACACGCTGTGCCCTGCAAGCGGATAGCGTGTCGCTCCGCTCCGCGGGGCGGGCTTTCCTGTCAGGCACGCTTGCTTAGCGTGTCGCGGCGGCGGCCTGGGCGACACGCTGTGCCCTGCAAGCGGATAGCGTGCAGCTCCGCCCCGCGGTGCGGGAGACTGGGAACAGCTCGGGACGCTGACGCCTGGGGGCCGCGAAGTGGATAGCGTGTCGCTCCGAAGCGAGGTGGACCAGAACCCGCGGCGCGACACACGCTATCCAAAAGAATGCTGACCGTAGGCCCGCGGCCGCGCATCATCCCTCCCTCCTCCCCCGCTGTCTCAACTTCTCCACAGCGGCGCTCTCTCCGGCCTCCCTCTCTCCCTCCCTCTATCCTTGCCTCCCTCTTTCCCTCCCTCATCCCTCCCTCCCTCCCTCCCTCCCTCCTCTCCTCTCCCCCCTCCCCTCCCCCATCCTTCCTCCAGCTTTAATTTGCTCCTCCCCCTGCTCATGTTCCCCCTTCTCCGCCAACGCATCCTCCTCTTCCTCCTCAGTAGCAGTGTAATTCGAATGTTCCTCGGCTTCGTCATCCAATTCCTGCTCCCCCTCCTCCCATCGTTCCCCTCTCCCTCCTCCTCCTCCCTGTCCTCCCCCTCCTGCTCCTCCTCCTCCTCCTCCACCACCTCCCCCTCCTCTTCACTGGCATCATCACCACCATCACATCACCATCACCATCCCCATCCTCACCATCAGCATCAGCAACATCATCGATATCATCAGCATCAGCATCAGCATCATCAGCATCGTCATCATCAGCATCATCATCATCATCAGCATCAGCATCATCATCATCATCATCACCATCATCATCATCATCAGCAGCATCATCATCATCATCATCATCATCATCATCATCTGCAGCATCAGCATCAGCATCGTCATTATCACCACCACCAGCAGCACCATCAGCATCAGCATCAGCGTCACCACCACCATCATCATTTTAAGCATCGCCAGCATCGTCATCGTCATCACCATCATCAGCATCTACATCAGAAGCACCGCCATCAGCATCAGCACCAACATCATCATGATCATCATCATCAGCAGCAGCAGCAACAGCACCATCATCATCAGCATCAACATCATCACCGCCACCACCAACGTCATCATCATCGTCATCATCGTCATCATCAGCATCATCGACATCATCATGCTCAGCAGCAGCATCATTACCATCATCATCAGCATCACCAGCTCCACCCTCGTCATATTCACCGTCATCATGGACAGCGCATCTTATATCAGCAACATCATGACCAGCCTCATCAGTATCAGCATCAAAACCATCATAATCCTGCACATAATGACTATGCGCATGATCATCGCAATGACCATGAGCATAAGCAGCATCGTCATAATCATCAGTGTCAGCATCAGCACCATCATCGGCTTCTTCATCATCGTCAGCATCATCATCATCATTGTCGCCAGCACCACCATCACATCAGCTTCAGCATCGGTATCGGCATCACCTTCATCATCGGCATCAGTATCAGCATCATCTTCATCATCATCAGCTACATCATCATGATCATCACCATCACCATCAGCATCAACATAACCATCAACAGCAACATTATCTACATCAGCAACGTCAACCTCATCATCAACATCACCATCATCATCATCATCATCATCATCGGTTGTGAATCGCACGCTGTCCGCTACTTACGGGGGAGCATCGACATCAACATCGGCATCATCGTCATGCTCATCATCGCCAGCATCATCATCAGCAGCATCATGGTCACCTGTAAAATCATCAACGTCAGCATCAGCATCAGGATCATCATCATCATCACCGTCACCATCATCCTCATCCTCATCCTCATGGCCATCGTTATCGATATCGTCATCGTCATCCTCATCATGTGCCATATTTCATCCTCAGCGGGATCCTCTCCTCATCATTATCACCGTTCTTCCCTCCTCATCCTGATCCAGTGGGCAAGCCGGGCTCCCACCTGGCTAACATCCTCTTCCGCCTCCCCCCTCCCCTCCCGTACCATACCCCCGTGCCGCAAGTCCGGCACATGCTGGTCAATCTGCATGGCCGTTCTGGTAACCGATGCGTCCCAAAAACCCTCCCTCGAGACATCTCCCGTTCCGAACGCTCTAATGTTCGTTCTTCTCGTTTTCATAATGCTGTTATGATTGCTCCTCATCACCCTCCTCCTCCTCCTCCTCCTCCTCCTCCCAACGACGCCGACAACCGAAGAGATGCGACGTGTGACAGCAGGGGTGAGAAGGCGACCCCCCTCCTCACTGGTCCTGCACCCCCATGCTCGTTTGCACAACGGCTGGACCGATCGGGCCTTCGGCTTCTTGCCCTCGGCCTCCTCCTTCGCCTTCTTCTCGCGGCGCTCGAGCGCCTGCAAGAAGGGGCTCAAGAGAAGGAGATGAGAAAGCAGGGTGTGCGACGAGGAGGGGGATGTCGAGTATATAAGAGGATGAGGGGGAGAAGTAGATGAACAATGAAGACGAGGAAGAGGGAGAGGAATACGAGGCTGAAGGCCGAAGAAGAGAGGAGGAGGAGGAAGATGCGGGTGACGATATCGATGATCATTATTGGGCAAACCGTGGCGACGGGTACTCTTCGAAAGCAAACGGCTGCAAACGCATTGCTCGATTACATGCGGCCTGGCGGGATGGAACATATATCAGAAGAGAGCGCGCCTGCTAGCTACAAGTGGTGCCCACCAACTAGGGTTGGTGCGCAAACGCTGACCATTCTCGCCTGCTGCCTACTGCCCGTCGGCGCGCCAACTTTGTAGCCCCTGACATTTGCAATGTGTCGGCGCCAACATTGGAGGTCAAACCAAATCAAAACCGTGAGCCCAGCTCGCGAGGAGATGCGGCGGCAGAGAACTGCGCGGCTGACACTGCGTCATTTCCTCTAGCATAGGTGGTAAGGACCTTCGCAGTCGGTGCTCCACGCTGGTGACGTTTACCTTTGTCGAGATCCGAGCTTGGGTTTCAGTTCCCCCTCCCCCTCCTCGTCGGCCTTCATACCATCGATCTGTCTGTGGAAGTGAGGTGCCTTCTGGATAGTTACTTGTTCACTTGTGTCCTGCGCCCAC